TTAGCTAGCTTGGCCTATTTTACTGATGTTTTGAACTCATATGAATCACTGTTTATTGTATTTGTACAGTTTATCTGATTGCTTTCCGTTTGACTGCGTCTATACAGAAGCACTGAAGGGTTAGATGAAAAAAATTTAAAGTGCGGTTCACTTTCTTGGTTTTTTTGAACACTTAGCATGTTACACCAGCTTTAACCAACAGGGGGTGGCAGTTTTTTTCCCCACTTACCCTTCAGGGACCACATAAATAAAAAAAAAATTGGGAAGCTAAGTGGCTAACAATTAGCATGCTGTACCAGCTTTGATTTGATGGTCCAGCGCTGTTAATCAACATTTATAAAACAATCACTGAACAATTTGACCTGTACAATAGCGAGCTGTCTAGTTGGCTCTGGATTGGCAGGCTATTGAAACGGATCTCCCCCTTGTGGTCAAATCTGGTATGGTATGCTAATTGTTTGCAGGTTAGCTCCTGTTTTGTGAAGTGCTTTGTTTTTCACCTGGTTCACGTAGGGCTAGGGGGAAAAAATCATCTGCCCCCTGCTGGTCAAATCTAGTGTTACATGCTAAGTGTTAGCTAATATATGTATTTTTTATATGAGGGAGAATTTTGTTTTTTTAGGTTTTTGATGGCTATAATTGTACAAGTGATGCCAGAAATACTTTTTCGTTGTTTTTGGTACGTCATACAGGCAGACAGAAAATATAAAGTTGAACGCACATTTAATTGTTTTATTTCAACCCTTCAGAGCGTCCGTACTCGTGTCCTCTGGCATGATGATAATGGCGTTGACATCACAACTCGGCCATTTCGAAGAAACTGGTGCGACTTCATCATCCCACTTCTACGGGCACTTCCTGGCGGGAATCTTGCTTTTACAACGAAACAATAAAAAAGATCACTTGAAAGCAGCATTAGTGTACAATTTTGGTTGTGTTCCATTTGTTGTTTTTGCCCCTGCATTCCTTGTTTTCTCCTTCACGTTCTACATTTTCGTCATCTTGTATCTTAATAAATCCCACATCCTGCTTCCTTTTCAGTTTGTTCTGTTACACTGATAAAGAACCCTATTTGCAAGTGAAAGAAGGGTTTTAAATGGTTTTCACAACCTTTCGCCCTCTTTCTTTTAAGAGTGTAGTGCGGAAAAAGGTGAGTCTGGTTAAACACCTTTGAATGTACTTTCAAATTTGTAAGGGAATGTACAAGAACAGAACCGGAGAGGATGTTTGGTCAAGCTCTTATTCACTAAAATGTCCAAATCCCATACTATTGTTTTACGAAGTGCTTTGTTTCATATATCCCTCTTAGGTAACAAATATAAGGCAAATTGTGATAATTTCACCTTTGTAAAATAAAGTCAACTGATGAAAATGCTGTGTTTGGGATCACTGCCTCGACATTGGAAAGCATCCAAAATCTACATTTTTCTTTTTCTGAACTCCATTGTGATACATTTTGTTTGGGTTTATGCACCAAAAACACTCTTAATTCACTTTTTATGACCATTTTCTAACCTCTCTTCATCCTCTAGGATCAAACTGGCTGTTTTTTGTTACTGTGCATTCAAGACTGATGTATGTAAATAAGCTCTGGAGTTGTGACGTCACTCTGTTGTCGGCATTATGCCCATATTAGGAAATCCAGGTGTGGTTTTAAAAATGAAAAGCGTTTTCAAAAAAACGCTGCTATCGTGTTCTGTGGTATATAACAACCATACGAACATTTTCTTCTGAATGTCTCTGCTTTATGAGGTTGTTAAGGAGCCAAACTATGAATATTTCCAGTCTGAAGCATATATCAGTCTGCTAGCTTGATAAGGAGGCACCCCGCTAACTGTATGCCACTGCCGGTCCACTGTCAGACCACCCAGATTATTGTCCTGCACACAAGGTCTAACTGGTTTTTGACCTCCTCAGACAAAGTTTAAATGCACACAGACTTTTATTTTGGAAAATAACCTAGAAACTATTACAAACAATTGAAAGAAAAATAATGAGGCTTAAAATAAAATTATTTAGTTGAAAATGCTGTTGCTGACATTGTGCTAGATTAGTTACAGCTGTGTAATCAGCTTTATTAATTAATTTATTTACTGTTAAAATGTACTGGTGTACTAATGTACAAAGGATAACGAAAGGAAGAAAGGAAAGAAAAATAAGTAAAACTGGACTGTAAGTTCAAAAAATAGGCACTGAAAAGTGGCATTTTGTCTACACTCTGCTTAACCACCAGTGGGCCGCCTGGAAAATGCTGAGTGAAAGCCAGTGGGCCGTCAGCCTTGTTGTTAGCGGGCCAACAGTGGCTCTCTATCTTCTTTCTATCTGGGTTGCTGCATGTTAACACTGTTGTATGCTGAACAGACATCATAAGACACTAAAATGCCCCACAAAAACCAGCAAGCTTTGTCAGTTGTGGTAGTTCAGAGGCTTTGACAGTGTTAGGCTGCAGTTTGAGTAGCTGGTCTTGGTTCATAACAGTGTTAAAGTTTAATAGACTTAACCTCATTTCAGTGCGCAGAAGTGTTAGCTTGCTAGCAGCAGTGTAGTTTCAAGTTTATTTGTCATTTGCACAACATGTCAGGACATTCATGCACTGAAATGCTTGTGGTGAGGCTCAGCTAGTCAGTCTACAGAAAGTAAATAAGTAAAAATAAAAATACAAGAAAAGCAAACTGAAATATATTAAATATACACAAAATATAGAGACAACATACATTTATGTACATAGCATTATTCATGTTTTGACACCTTGACAACCTCATAATTCAGATCATCCGGTGACACTGAGGGAAAAATGTACTAAAGAGAAAACATAACAGGTTTGGAACCTTTTTGTGAACCGCAGCAGCAATTTATGAAGAAACCATTCATTTTTCGCAGAGAGAAAATCAGCTTAGACCTGGACTTCCTGATATCCTAAAACAGAATGAGTGTGTTTACATGGACACCACTAATAAGATCAATATCAGATTTTGTTAGTTATCTAATTATTTAAGTGGTCATGGAAACAGCATGATTTCTTGGATTTAATCAAGGCCGTAATCAGATTTAAAGGATTTCAAGAGCTGGATTTTAGCTCAGTAACCTGGTCGTCCAGCGCATGTAAACCCTCACTCTGATATCTTTTGTTTTTCTCAGTCTGCTTTCAGCGAACTGACCAGTTTTTAGCTTTGCAGCACAGTATTTAATTACAAAGGCAGTTTTGCCTGCCACATTACATCATTCACACTGGAGTTTTGCTTCTAATCTATTATCATTCCCATCAACAGTTTTTTCTTTCTCAGATTTTACGCACTGACTCTTTGGCAATTATGTGCCAAAGTAGCCTTGGGAAATCATTCTGTTTTGCACTGTATAATACAAACGAGGACCCGCCTTTCTTGGTTGCAGCCTGGCTTTTGGAACGCAGCTCTTATGACTTTAGCATGGCAGGCTGGAGCTACACTTCCATTGGCTGAATAGGTGAGTATATGTAAATGTGCTGGTTTTAATGACATCACAAAAGCAGTTCAATTCAAAACGGGCAGTTTTTTCAGCTTTGTTTTATGTTTAGGGAAGGGTACATTTCAAAACATTCAACGATTTTTCAAATTTTCTATCTAGTTAAATTGTTAAGACTCCGAATGTGTAAAAAGCTCCATTCTAGATAAGTTCTAGATGTTTCAGATACAAGATGGAGTCAGCAGAGCTGTGTTGTAGTCATGGTGACCCCTGGTTCCTGTCACCCCCACTGTAAAGACATCTGACTTAACTAAGCGCTTCACATCAAACCAATCTGAGAGACTTTGTTTACATCACCACAGATGACTTATGCAGAAAGTTTGAAAAATGGGTGGGATTTCCCTTTAACAGTGTTTACATACTGTATCCAACACTGTATCAACATTTTTCATAATATGGGCCCCTTAACGCTCACTTCCATATTTTAATGCAGTACATGTTGGAATCTCTGACATTATGAAAAGAAATTATGCGCCATGGTGATTATTTTTTAATGCCCCGTGGCCACAAATTAATATATTAAGGCCACAATTTATTACATTGAGGCCACAAGGTCTGAGAAACTTAACTTGTGGCTTCAATATATTAATTCGTGGCCACGCCTTATTAAGAAATAATCACTCTGTCACTTCAGGGGTCCTCAAGAAACCCAGGGAAAAGCTAGATTAAAGCGTTTAACGTGCCACTCCAACATGTGTCTTTATTCAGCCTCCACCTGGAGAGGAACTGTGCCAGAGGCAAGGCAGCCATTTTGATGCGAACAGGGATTTTCAATTTGAGCTGCTACGGCGTAATAAAATGGCCCCTGTCTGCTCACATCTCACAGAGACAGAGCCGGACAAGCCGAGGCATCGAAGAGGATCAGACATTTAAAATCACAAACGCCGTAGGGCGAAAGAAGCCGCGGCGAAATGTCAGTGAACACTCAATAAACGCTGGGGCTGCGTTGTTGGCGGGCTGGCGGCTGAAGTGACGGAGAGCGCAGTGTTTAATACGCTGTCAGCGTTTCTATCATCGAGCACCGTGTTTATATAAAGCGCTGTTTCTGTGTTATAACAGTTTACAACGGTAGAGATTTAAAATAACCACAAATCCACCGCCTGTCGTTAGCGTTTTCCGTTCCACCTTAAATGATTTTTAAGGTGGAACGGAGCAGCGTTCGGCTATCCGGAAGTGTTATAAAAGTCCGGGTGTTAAGGGTCTCCACGTCATTGTTTTGCTTCTTTTTAAATACAAAATATTTTAAAAAAGACAGCGAAAAATTTCCAACGCGAGGCATATACAAACAAGCAAAACCAAGCACCGCCTGTCGCTGCACAAAAAACACTTGATCGCATTTTCCGTTCCACCTTAAATGGCCATTTAAGGTGGAACGGCGAAGCTAACTAACTTCTCCGCAGATTCGCGTATCCGGAAAGTGTAATAAAAGTCCGGATGTTAAGGGTCCCCACGTCAAAAAAAAAGAAAAAAAGAAAAAAGAGACAAGGCTAAAAAAAAAAAAAAAAAACAAAACAAATGCATCGGACGAAATTGAGGGGTTTTGGAGCCGTTTAAAACCGGACGTCCACCTTTAGTCGTTAATATGACGCACAAAGTGTCTGCGGTGAACAAATAACTGTAGCCAGCAGGATAAACAGCAGGCAGAACAAGGGGGCATATGAGGCAGAGGGGCAGCAGGGAGGGAGAGGGAGAGAGAGGGTAGCAGGCCCCGCTCATCTCATGCTCTCATGCCCAGTCCTAAACAGATGGACGCCTAGGTAAAATAAGGCCTGTTTTATTGTCTCGCGGTGCGCTCGCGGTCTAAAGTGTGTGTTTTCGTTTTTTTTAATGCACGCTTGCAGATGTTGGGGGCTCGCGCATCATGACATAGCAGGCTCAGCTAGCTGAGTGTGTGGCGTTTGGTTAGCCAGCTGTTTTGCATGCTAACGACGTGTTAAGCTCGCTGCTGTGTGTCCGTATTTATTTACTTTGTTCGCATTGCATTCCGTGCTGCTGCGTCCAGCTTGTTTCGTTGTTGTTGACGATGTTTTTGGGCAGAAGCTCGTGCGCCGTTCTCCTCCGCTCCCCCGAGCTCCCAGATGGACATTTTCTTTCCCTTTCTCGCCTTTTGTGACACGCAGTGCTCTCGGCAGATGTAATAATTACTTCAAATTCACCTCTTCCCCCCCACTGACGATTCGCACGCGCGTCTTTTTTTTCCCATTTAGAACCAGCAGCTCGCGAGCGAATGTGCAAGAGCGCGTGCAACTTTTGCACATGTAATTTTTTTTCGCTCATTGTTCTTTATTTTGTTCTTGCATTTGGCCGCTGCATTTTACCACTTTGTGCACTATTAATAGTGACGATATGACGCTTGTTATATGCATTCAAGATTATGAGTGTTGTTTACACTGGAGGTGGGTGATATGGCAAAGATAGTATATCACGATACTTAAAGACATTTTCACGATACACGATATGCATCACAATATTTAGTTTTTCTGAGATTTTGTAAGTTGGAACGGGCAAAATAGAGCCTGTAGTGCCGCATATAAAATACTACACTATTATTACTACTATTACTACTACTAATAATAATAATAATTTTATTTTACAAACTTGTAGTGTTTTACTAAATAATTTAACAGGCCTAATTATGCTTACTTTGTAATGAAACATGCGGTTAGTCAGTGTTCTTCTAGTACTGACGATTAACGATATGCTCTGAAAAGCGTATTGTGACAGAATTTATCGAAATAACACTAAAATATCGTCATATCGCCCAGCCCTAGTTTACATCCATTTTTTTGAGGTATTAGATAAATCCTGCCTCAGTCATCCATTCAGAACGTTTTAATGATTGTTATTATTTCACTCTCATGTGAGGAATCATGACATAGAAGAAGGATTTCATACTCATCACCACTTTCTTTCATTTTCTTTCCTTTTTTTATGGAGGAAATCTAACCACTGTATAGTGATTAATGCCATCTTTATTGTTGCAGTATTTTGGAATGAAAGTCTTAATATTACTTGTGAATATGAGTATGAATTCGAACAGATGTGGTATTACATAGATAATTACTTGTAATCACTCAGACTGCAACTACAATGAGATGTATGCGATTATATATATATATATATATATATATATATATATATATATATATATATATGTATATATATATATATCATTGTGTTTTCCACTGATATGTGTACTGTTGGTTAAGATGTAATGCTGGTTAATGCATAAATGATTTGTGACATAATTATATGTGGTATTAATACTTTTGTATATCTTTCAATCAAAGTCAAATCTGAACAGCTGTCCAATGCCAGTCCTTTTTGAACTATTATCTCCCGATAACGATATGATTCTGATATTACCGTGCATTCATAGACTTAGAATAGAATTTTACTTTATTTTATTTATTTAGTTATTTAGGCATTATTTAGGTATTGTTACCTTGTAATTGTATGAGACATTAGTACAACATTAGAGGGATGTACTATTTAAAAATAAGAATGAATATGGAATTTAATAATATTTATTTAAAATCATATAGACTAGAGTAAGATGTGTTTACCATAAAAGGAGGGAACTATGGCAAAGTTCACATCACAGTTTTTAATGTTAATGCTATTTTTGTTTGATAAGTACAGTAAATACAATTATTTTTATTCCTGCGCTGTGCTAAATCAAATTAAACAGGACCAATTAGGCCCTCTTAATGAAATGTGCAGATGGTCAGTGTTCAATATGTACTGACAGTATTTACAAGATACTCAAAAAAAGCATATTGGGACTGAATGTGACAGTTTATCATGATAAAGATAAATATTGTCATTTTGCCCACCCTTTGTGCAATGCACTGTAGACAAAAACTGCTTTTAGTAGAAACTCTTACAAATATATATTTCATTTACAGTGCAGGACACTGTGTAGGCTAAGTGAACACATGAAACACACTAGCACATTTCCAGTTATTTCTGTTAGCCAAACTCACAATATAAATAGCATTATTTGTTCCTTAATGTGCCAAACTGGCTTAAAAATGTAGTGCTTCATTGAATGTAAGTCTAAAGAGTATACTTATGCTTCCCCTTATTCGCATAAAATACAACACACAGCCAAATCAAAATATTATTAAAATAGTAAATAATTATGACTGTGCACCTTATTAATAAATGATAGCTATGTGGTTTGAATGTTATCAACAACAGTAAATAGTCCTCTGCTACTTTTGCATTGTAAAATTACAGTCTGTATGTGAGCATGTAAATTGGTACACAGATGTTTGAAAACCTGGGGTCAGATTACATGTTTTGTTGATTTCTTAAGTGAAAATAAGTTAACGCATCCTCTACAGGGAGCACACTTGAAATAGAGTTTAAGGCATTGGAATAAATAAAAACATAAAATATGAAATGTGCCATAACTTTTGCACAGGCCATTACTTGTGCCCACATTTCATGTTTTAATTATTTCCCAATATGTTAAATTTAGCAGATAAACAGTAATTCTGCATTAAAATGTTCCCTGTAGACCATGTGTTATCATAAGACATTTTACTTATTATCAAGTAAACATGACTGGGGCACCAAAAATTTTCCATATGATAGTATATATTAGCATGTTTCTGGTGCTGTAGGACACTCCTGAGTTGATCATTTGTGTCTCACGTTTCCTCTTTTCCGTCTCACAGTGAGAAGAGGAGCGGCATGGAGGAACTGACCATGCCTGAACGAGTAGCCAGGAGGAGGAGGATGTTTATTTCGACAGTGGAAACAGTGACCAGCGTTATTAGCTGAAAAATGGAAAGAGAGTTGTACATCACTTGGCCTTGGATGATTTAAGAATTAAGTCACTTACTGTAACAAATGAAACACATGGCACTTCGAAGGAACCCATCCTTATCTGGGATGGTCATGAATTCAAGCATGTAACCAAGCAAGACGTAACGACCAGTCAACTACATTTTGTCTTTTGAAAAACATAAGGCACTTAAAATGTGAAAATTAAGTGTTAAATTGTGATTCACACCTCCTCACTGACATTACATGAAAGACAAATTCTGAACGGGACTGAACGATGTGCAATAAAAGGAAAACATTTGACAAGGATACCCATGGCGAAAACAAGAACTTATTTATTCATCAGAGACAGTGATTCAAGTATCACTGAAACCACAGAACTGTTAAAATCAAATTTTAGCAGTTGCAGAACCTTGGGATCATCACAGTCCGTAGAGGAAAGCCATTCTGTGCCTGAGCCTTGGCAGTATTGGCTATAAATGGGAACAGCTGGTAATTGTCATATCTAACAGCAGATGAGTTGAAAGCAGACCATCCGTGAGAGTGGGCTGAAACAGGGTAAAGACTCTACAGTGTTTCTGTTAACAGGTTCCACTTGTCATTGTCGCATCTCATCTGGCAATTTTATTGAAATTGTCACTGCTCTTTGAGCAGAAGGTGTTGCTCCTGCACACCCATGTTTCAGTGACTGGGCAATGTTCCAGTTTGGAAAATACAATGTGGACATCATAGAGATGCTGAGTGGACACCAGGCCCATCAGCTCAAAGGTCTTGGAATAGAGCGACAACTACAACACCAGCAGCAAGTGCAGCTTCACCAGCACCAGTTGCAGCAGCAACAGCAGCAGCAGGTAGAAACGTCCGGGGCTATTTTATCTGGACTCGGTCTGGGCCCACTCCAAGGATCAAGAAGCAGTGCCTTTTCCAATTCCACATCGATTTTCACCAAAATGAGCGCGCCTCCTCCACCCCTGCAGCAACAGTCACTGTCTTCGTCCTCGCAGGGTTCGAGGAAATCCAGCAAAATGTCTGGAGGCAGCAGCGGTGGAAGTCATGTGAGTGGGTATCCTCAGTTTTTGCGCTCATTTCATCCAACAGAGGCAGCCCTTGCACAAGAACATTTGCATCCGGGAGTTGGACGGTTTGACCAGTTTGCAGGTGGTGGTGGAAGTGGAGGGAGCTCGGGAGGAATTGGAGGGCTGGTATCATCCGTTCCACCACCTCCTCCTCCATTACATCCGGGCCTTTCCGTCCCTCAGGCATCCCCAGGACCATCCTCCTCTTCTCCATCTCCTTCAAGTTCCGTTTCCAGTTCCAACAACCCTCCCAGCAGTAGTACTGTAACCTCCCTGGGTCACCAGTTGGCGGGAGCTCAGTCTGATGCCCGGAGCTTGCATCAGCAGTTTAGTTGCATGCTAGCAGCTAATCAGTACTTTCTTTCTGGAGTACCTGCCAACTCCAGCTTAGAGCAATTTTTGGTCCAACAAGGCAGCCACAACCATCTCGGTCTTGGTCTGGGTCAAAGTGGGGGAGAGTCAAGTTCCAGTCTCGCTCCACCTCCTGCTCTCCACCCCTCGCATTCACATAGCCACTCGACCACCCTGCCACAGCCGCAACAACCACCACCACAGCAACAGCAGCTACCCCCTCACACGCTGTCACACCCCCATCCACATCCGCATCACCCTCTTCATTCCTCATCTCAGCCTTCTTCATTAGGTAGCTTTGATTTCCAAGGGATTCCTGTCCTCTCCTCAAACCAGCTAGCATCTCTAATGCAGCAGGAAGCTGGTCTACCACTGCCCCTACCGCTACATCTGTCCCTGTCCAAGGACGAAGGGAAAGGAGACAGCGCATCAGGAGGAAGTGGAGGAGGCAGGAGAAAGAAAGCAATGGCTGGCTACTTGCCTCAGCGGAAGGCTGATAACAGCAGCAACAACAATGGCAGCAGTAATAGCCACAATTCTACAAATCCTAACCCCAGCAGCAGCACTTCAGGAAGTCTCAGCCAAGATAATGCATCCAACCTTGGTGGAGGTGGGGGGATTATTGGTATTGGTGGAGAGCCTCCTTCCCACATGACGCCTTCATCTTCCTCTTCGGGTGTGTCATCATCTTCCTCTTCTGCTCCCTCTTCTACGTCAGCGTCAGTCTTGGTGACAAATAGTTCCAAGACAGACAACCACGGTTCCATGCACCCTCCTTCATCTCAGCCTGAACCAGAACCACTTTACCATTGTGGGGAGTGTGGCAAGAGTTTTACGCACTTATCCAGCCTGCGCAGGCACTTGCGGAGTCACGAAGTGACCACAGCAGGCACGGCAGGCACAAGGAGCAACGTTGTAAATCCTGTTCTACACCCTGCGGATCCCTGTATTCCCCATTCAACCCAGGATGTTTCAGCATCATCCTCGTGCCCCAGCCCTGACAAGACTTTCCACTGCTCGGACTGTGGCAAAGGGTTCAAGAAAAAAGGCCACCTGCTCCAACATGGTGTCATTCACTCTGGTGCACGCCCATATGCCTGCAGTACCTGTAGCCGTGCATTTAATCGTCGTGAATCGCTCACTCGTCACGAAAAGATACACGAAGAGAAGCCGTTCCGTTGTCCAGCCTGTGGCCGCTGTTTCCGTGAGAGCACCTCTTTGCTGAACCATGCAGCCTCGGGCACCTGTGGCAAGTCAGGAAGAGGGCCGAGACCGAAGAATGATAGCAGTAACCCTGTTGGCGGCAAGAGCAATAAGACAGGGGCTTCCAGTGATGGAATGGTAACTAGTGCGGTGGGTGAGTAACAGAATAAATATATATGAACTAGGGTTGTAAAAGTTAATGTTAATAAGGGGATAAATTAGTGTCAGTTTTTAAATGGCATTAATGCAATTTCCTATGATCTGTAGTAGTGCAGGCTGAAGCCCAGCTGCAGCGCGCTGTATGTTTCTGTGATGGAATCCGCGATTGTAGCCTTCTCATTCAAATACAGCTTTTACATGGCTTTTACAGCAATACCTTCAACACCTTTGGCAGACTACGCTGGACAGTGCTCGCAGGAGACCTATGGATAAATCAACAAGCAGCAAACTAACAAAAGCAACACCAAAGTGGAAAGCTCCAGTTCCCCTACCCTGTAACAAGAATCTCCGAGCTGCATGAACGAGAGCAAGAGGGCTACAATCGCGGAGGAGTTGTAACCATTGACTGTATATATGATAGATGATATATACACCCATTGGTTGGAACATGCAGCCACTGTTGCTGTCACTGGATGTCTGTGATGACAATTGGAAATGGCGGTCGCTCTGGAAATCACATAACTCACGTTCAAGTGAACTCTGTTTGCAGGATGAAAATACTGTTACTCAGTTATTGAAAGCAATAAACACATTCTGATGAAGCTTATTTTGATCACTCATGGCTATAACAAAATGCACTGTCATTAAGGTCAGTTTTGAGAAAATAAAACAAATGACATACAATACAATGTGATTGTGCTGAAATATTTAAATTTGACAGCCCTAATGTGCACCAAATAAATTATTGATGTTTATACTATGCTAAGGAGATATTTATATGTCGTCATTGTGGGAACAAAACCTTGTATCTCCGGAATGGTAACTTTATATAACTTTGTTAGTCTATTTGTTAGTCTATTTTTCACACAATGTGAGAGGGAGGCTGGCATTTTTAAATTATTCAAAAAAAAGACAAAAAAAATTCTGCTTGCTTTTGTCCTGACAATTATATGCAGTATTAATACTATTTGATTTGTCATGCAGGGTCTTACCGGAGTGACAGTTACAGCGACAACTACAAAGAGCAACGCTCTCAAGGCAGCCTTTACTCCGGAACCTCCTCATGTGGCGGAGGCTTAGCTGGGCCAGCTCTTAGAAAGGCCCCTTTAGCCCCTACTCTGCATCCCCACCCACAAAACCAAAGCCAAAGCCAACAGCATCACCATCAGCAGCCACATCTACCCCTTTCTTCTCTGCTGGATGATTCGGAAGACGACGTTACAAGCTCTGTTAATAATGCTATTTCTGCCATCACAGCTGCAGCAGCAAATTGCATGGGTGGTGATCTAAATACTAGTGGGGCTCGAGGAGACGACAGACGGGATATCATTGGAGGGCTCCTTGGAGGTCTTGGTCTAGGTCCTCTTACATCTCCTGGTGGTCCGTCTTCAACATCCGGGATGGACAAATCTTTTAGGGGTGGTCCAAACCAGGATGCTTTAACTTCTAGCCAACAGCCAAACCAACAGACTCCGAGTGGAAAGCCCAAGCGTCCTCGGAAGCCCCGAAAAAAGAAAGAACCTGGTGCACCAGGTTCTGAGCCTCCTAAAAGAAGACAACCCTCGCAGAGAACAGTGGGAGTCCTCGGGGAAGTTCGGCCATTTTTATGCAGCATCTGCGGCCGAGGATTTGCCAGACGAGAAACCCTAAGAAGGCACGACCGTATACACACTGGAGAGAAGCCTCACCACTGCACGGTGTGTGGCAAATACTTCAGAGAGGCGTTTCACCTTAGCAAGCACCATACAGTGCATTCTGGAGAGAAGAACTACAAATGTCTTCTTTGCGGAAAGGATTTTGGATATGCACAGAGCCTTAAAAGACATGGAAAGCTGCACCAGAAAGGAGAAATGGAAGAAGTACCAGCAACACCTGGAGGAGAGAACCTCAACAGTTATCCCTCTGCTAGTGGGAGCATGATCCAAGGAGGTCAAGGCGGTTCTTCCTCATTCTACTCGTACTCGCAAGATGTCAAACCCCAAGGAGCAAATCCTCAGCCTGCTCCCAGACTCTACACATGTGCTATATGCTGGAAATCCTTCCGCCATCACTTCCATCTTACGGCACATCATCAAACGGTGCATGAGGGAGGTGGCGACAAGCTGTTTTCTTGTGAAGTGTGTGGGAAGGCCTTCGCATATTCCAACAGCCTTACAAGACACAGGTTATCTCAGCACGGCCTGACACGTAATGGTCAAGGAACATCTCAAGGGGGCAGTAGTGGCCCTGGAGAAGACAGCAACGTTGCTGGTTCCATATCTGAGAGTGAGGCTGCCACAAACGCTTTGCTCCAGCTTGCACCCAGCAGTGGAAGCCAAGGGGAGCAGCAGTCCCACCCTGGAGTACTTCACAGTCACCAGCAGCCTCCACCCCAACCACAAGCTGGTTACTCGCCTCTGTTCTATGTACCCGAAGCCAGCACGTCGCTCCCTTCCTCCTCTAATGCCACCCCTTACTCGCAGCCTTTGTCTTCTAGTTCCTCCATATCATCACTAAATCATCAGCACAGCGTGGTGAAAGGAGAGCCAATGTATCAGACTGGCCAAAGACACGTGCTCAACCCAAACTTGCCTGTTCACCCACTTGTGCTGCCTCCGCCAGATCATCAGCACCACTCTCACCCTCAGCAGCATCCAGAAGACATCCAGCCACACCATCACCACCACCACCACCACCACAGCTTTCACAGCGAAGACGAGCTGCGACGACGCAAGAAAAAAAAAAAAAGACGGATCGGGAGAGAGAAGATAGGCTACGAATGGAGCCGGACCGCAAAAATGGACGGGGGACAGGGGGTTCTCTCGGCTGGGCAAAGGAAGAGAAATGAAAGGAGAATACTACAGAAAAGAAGGAAGAGGGCGATTCACAGGAGGCAACGCAAATTTAGGAGGAAGATGGCTATGCTCCTGAGGATCAGGCGAGGTGGGAGTACTAGGGTTGTCTATGAACTGGGCTCTACAGAAGGACTTGAACTATATAGACTGTTCTCTTGGCAGGTTCCTCTCAAACGTTTCCCTTGCCCCTTCTGTTTTCTCACGACGTTTTCGCGACGAGCAGCACTTATGGTCCACATAGCGGCCCGACACTGTCCCAAAGTCAGTTACCGCGTGGATCGACTGAGATGCCTAGTCTGCGGGAAGCAATCTCGCAGATTCCTCTCGGCCCTCATCCACAGGAGCTCTCATTTATCCAACAGAGCATTTTCTTGCAGACGCTGTCCCTCGCGTTTCTGGAACGCTGCGCTCCTCACGAGACATAAGAGAACTTGTCGGGGAAAGTTGGCGGAACTGAGACAAGGGAGAACACTTTGTTTTAAATTGACCGCGGGAAACTTTTTCAAGAGGGTGGAGGGTAAAGGGAATATCTCGACCCTGCAAATACAATACAGTCACTGAGTGCCCTTCAGTAATTAAACCTAAAGACTTTAATATGTAGTAGGAAAGAAGAGGGAGTTTTGCATGAAAGAATAGAGACTCTCTAGACTTGGTATCCGAGTAAGTCTTTTGAGTGCTTTTAGAGCTTATTCTTTTCTCTCTCATTATCATCATAGATTACTCCCGTAAACCGAACCTCCACGCAAACTTGCAGACGCATCGCAGACATCTTTTATAAAGATATCGACGTTCCTGTCTTATCCACCCCCATCCTAACCTTCGAAAAGGATTCTGTACCCTCGTGTGCGTTGGCTCCTCGGCTGACATTAGGTGAATCTATAGTAACGTTACTAATACAGTACTTTCCCCTAACAGTAATGCTTACTGTAACTCAACAAATGCTCTGTAGAATTACTCTGTCTCGGTATGTATAATGTGTAGTTGATGTTCACTTAGAGCAAGTGTGGGGATGTGAAGCTCTTCAGTGTAAAAATAATTGCATTAGTAGCATAAGGAGAAAAGAAAGATTCCTAAAAGGAAGATCAGTGTTTTGTTTCAATCTGTGCATGTTGGACACTGGTCTCGATGTGTTGGATGAGTGTTGAGATTGTGGACTCTCTGTCTGAAGGTTACGCAGTCAGTACAATTAGAATTGTATAAAACGAAATTGAAGAATCCCAGAATAAGCTTTACTTCATGTTTCCATCTTCATGCTAGTGACTGATGGAGAAGATTACAAGAGATTTAGTCGGTTGTGTGTCAAAGTATGTCTTGAAAGCTAGCATGAAGAAGGAAGCACCAGCACTTACATTTGAGACAAGGCTTTCCTAGATAATCAGTAGTGGGGACAATGTCCAGCCCTGCTCCTGGAGCACTACCTGCATGCGGAGTTTAGAAGGTTGCCAGTTTGTTAGGTCCACTTTCCTATTACCTACATTCACTGGGCATTTTATGAGAAACACCTACAGTTTAGGTGCACTGGGTACGTTTGCAGCAATACGGGAAACAGTGGACAATAAGATCCGACATTTTTCATGTACGTATCTGCCGATGCTGATACTGATGTATAAGCACTTATAAAATGTGGAACACATGATCCACTATAATTAGTATTACAGAGTAATGTACCATTCACGAATGTTACATAGGGCTGCAAATTGAGGTAAAATGAATCAAATGCGGATACAGTTGTATGCAGAAGTTTTGGCACCCCTGGTCAAATGACCTTTTCTAAGTGAAAAGAAGTTCTCTACAGAGAACACACTTTTAATGCACAGATACTGTTTATTTGCATATTGGGGAAAAAATGAAACATAAAACATTGTCTGTGCAAAGGTTATGGCACATTTTATATTTCATTATCAATTCTTTTCCAATATGTTAAACAAAACATTCTGATCTTGCAGATTACAATAAATTTGTCGTTAAATATCGCTACTCTCGGAGGAAAACCTCGTATCTCCATTCTCAATGTTTTTGTCATTTTTCAGTTTTTGACATAATTTGAAAATGCTTGTTGTCCTTTACATTGTGTGCAAATTTCATGATGAATGGACCAAAAGAAATGGCCCGAAATTACATGGAAAAAAGTCTGGATCCATTGACTTACTTTAAAAGTAAAGTAGGTTTTTTCCTTCTCCTGTAAAGTTATCATTTTGGAGATATGAGGTTTTCTTCCGACAGCAGCGATATATAATATTTTAATATTAAATATTAAATCTATTTCGAAACATCTCTTTTTAAAACAGTTTTCTGAGAATTCAAATCAGCTCAAAACTATTTAAAAAATAGTGAGTGGCGATACGCTGTAGCACAAAAGTTTTTGCGGTTAAATATGAATTTTACTTGAATATTTTTTAAACATAAGACTCAAACCTGTTGCTTGCTTACAACAGTAAGCTGTGACGTGTCGATATAGTCTGCTTAGGCCATCTCAAGCAGGTGCACTGAAGAGGCGCCCTTGCATGGCCAGTTCTTGTCAACAAACATTTATTGTCTGTGGAATTATTGGAATGGACGAAATTGTGATCCATATTCAATTATGAAGTACCACAGAGCCTTAATCTATAGATCACATGTTCCCTGATGGTAATGTAAGTACAGTATGTATGCACAGCAGGCATGTCAAACTGGGGACCTTCTGGGCCAAAGTACTGCAGACATTAGCATTTACTCTCATTTAACACTCTGTATTCAGTTCATGAAGGCCTTGCTAATCAGCTGATGAGCTGAATCCAGTGTGTTTAATGAGGCAGTGAGCTGAAGTCTGCAGTGTTTTGGCCTGCAAGGACTGGAGCCTCACACATGTGCTCTACTGAGAACACATTTTAATGCAGTATTTATTTGCCAAATTTAATATTTTGGGGGAAAAATAAAACCTAAAGTGTGGCCTGTGCAAAAGTTATGGCACATTTTGTATTTATATTTTATGCTCCCCCAATATCTTTAACTAAATAGAATTACTTTGTTCCCTGTAGAGCAGGGTGGTCATTCCTAGTCCTGGAGATCTACCACCCTTCAGATCTAACACACCTGGCTCTAATGCTCAGATGTCCCTGAGGGTCTTCATTACCTGGATCAGGTGGGTTAGATTAGCATTGCAGCTAAACTCCGCAGGCCAGTAGATCTCCAGGACCAGGATTGAGCGCCCCTGCTATAGAGGATGTGCTAACTTATTTCAAAAATCAAGAAAACATGTTATTCGACTGGGGGTTTTCAAACCTTTCCGTCCATTTTGCAATATGTGTGTATATGTGCGGTTAAGTACAATCTTTTTTATTGAGTATGTTTTTGAACTAATCGTGAATTAGAATGGTTGGCTACAGTCTCTAACCAGTGATGTGAAACTAAAGGGAGGGGTTTCTGATAAAGTGGCCACAGAGCAAGGCATGTTAGATGGTAAATTAGGCTCGCAGGACGGTAGCGCTGCAGGAGCATACATGGACATACAACAGAATTGCAGGAGAATTTCAGTGGAACGAGGCGAAGTCCTCCTCGTATTGATATCTGCCCTGTTAGCACAGTGATAACTTTATTATATATAGAGTCTAAGTTAGAAATAGAAAGGAACAAGTGTACTGTAATGTAAATTGTGTCAATATTTTATTATTATTATGATTTTTTTTTAAAAAAGCAAAGGTCAAATATGTTTTTATCATAACTACATTGCAGGTAGTAGGGAAAGATAGTGGAAGTTATCACTTTAGATCAGATCTTGATTAATGTATTAATGTGTCTGACACGGTCTGTCCACTTGCCAACTATGAACATATCCCTTATATCTTTCTCACTTTTTTTTTCTTATGTAGAGATGCCATTACTACTCATAGACCATCTCTCTCTCTCTCTATCGCTCTTTTTTTTTTTTTGGAAAATACGTTAAGTAATAAGTATGTTTCTATCACTTTATTTACCTATGATAAACTGGTTGTTGATGATACCCAAGCATTTAATAAAATTTTAAAAGCATCCTTGTTTATTAGCGCCTCTATGGACATAAGTGCGCCTTTGTAGGTTTCGAAGGGCAATTCCACGCATTTTTCAAAATTCATAATTCAGTGCTTAAGACGTAAATAGAGTGATTCAGAGTGGTTTGGTGTGTCTTCTGAGTTTTATATGGAATGTTGATGATGGTAAAGTAGTGGAAAACCTGAATAAATAAGTTTTCTTTGGGGACTTTTTGCCTCACAGCACCCTGCGTGTACTGTGCTAAAGTTTTGGCGCCCCTGGTCAAAAGGCTTTTATTGACTTTCTGCGAATTAGTACACAATTTGTATTTTTGCTGTTTAACACAGTGGAAACAAATAAAACATGGAATGTAAAATGTGCCTTGACTTGTGCGCAGGTCACAGCGAAGCATTTAACATCAACAAAACATGGGGTGTACATTTGCATACGACTGTTGCTCTCTGCTATGGGAAAAAAAGACATTTTTAGACCAAAACTTTTGTTAAAAAATGTCACCATTTCATGTAGTAACTGTAAGGGAGCTTTTAGAGGTGGACTTCTGGTTCCTATCACCACCACCGAACAATTCTGACTCAATAATTCTGAAGTTTCTCTAGAATGGAGCGTTTCACACCAAACCACTCTGAATGACTTCACATCTTAGCCATGTAATTATGCAGAAAATTTGAAAATGTGGGGGAATACCCCTTTAACCCATCCAGTCCTGGCTTGGGTGTCTTACCACTTCATGTTAGTCGTGTGATTGCTGCTCTATTTGGTCTCATTGTTAAGAAGTGCATCATTTTCAAGATGTGCTCCTCTGATTCGGCCACAAGGTGGCAGCAGGGGATTTCTGTGAGTTTAGGGCGCGTTCAAAAAACCAAAACCCGTCACTTTCTCTGTGTACTTCCACTAGAACAAATCCACTCCTCAGAGATACACAGTAGGCATAATGTGACGCAGCTTGTTTATGTCTACATAAAACTTTTAACGTGTTATTGATCCACCATAGACAAATGTATAGTGGAAGTACGGAAGTGTGCATGGAGTACACTACAGAGATTTCATTCTCTTTGGATTGGAACAGGGCCCGTGTCTGCAGTGTTAGGCAGAGTATGACAGCCTGTCACATGGATTTAACAGTGACAGTGGGTGGGAAACAAGCGGAGTGTACGGCTCTCGTGTACGTGCAGGGGGGGAGAGGAGTGCATGGCAGAGAGACGGCAGTCAGTTGTAGCTTGATAGCTGGAAGCTAATCTTTTTGTAATTTTATTTAATTATTGTCTCTTTTTGATGGATCTGTATTGAAACTGCACTGTGAATTGCATCGTTAAAGAGCCCATCCTACATTTTCCTGCATTGTATTTTCTCCCTGAAATGCACATACAGAATTGGATATCTACCAAAAACAGTACTTCATTTATATATGATCAGTTTATATATTACTCATTTTTACACAGCCTCACTTTATCCCTCAGAACTGTGTAAACCTTGTTTATTAGTACCTCTATGGACAAAAGTGCACCTTTGTAGGTTTTGAAGGGCACTTCCACCCATTTTCAAAATTGATAATCTCAGTGTGTGAGATGTAAACAGAGTGATTCAGAGTGATTTCGTGTGAAATGGTTCAGATGTCTTTTCAGTGGTGGTGATAGGAACCAGGGGTCGCCATGACTACAACACAAACATAGACGTTTTATTTACTATCCAGAACCACCAGTGAACCTACACGAGTCTTCTGAGTTTATATGGAATGTTGATGATGGTAAAATAGTAGTTTTCTTTGGGGACTATTTTGCCTCACAGCGCCCTGCATGTACTGTCATATGCAAAAGTTTTGGCACCCCTGATCAAATGGCATGTTTTATTGACTCTATTTGTTTGCGGAGTTTAATGCTGTGGAAAGAAATAAAACATGATATGTGAAATGTGCCTTGACCTGTGCACGGGTCACAGCAGAGCTTTTCATATCAACAAAACATATAATGCGACCAGGGGTGCACAAACTTTTGCATACAACCGTTCCCTCCGCTGTGGAAAAAAAAACATTTTAGACCAAAACCCTTGTTAAAAATGTATCCATGCTACTGTGTCTTTAAGACTGATGTATGTAAATGATCTTTGCTCTGGTTGGCTGTGCCTCAGTCAAAAAGCAGTCCAGCCTTAAAACACTCTTTATAACTTCAGCTTCAATTCCATACATGGCCATTTTATCAGCTCCACTTACTATATAGGTGCACTTTGTAGTTCTACAGTTACAGACTGTAGTCCATCTGTTTCTCTGATACTTTGTTAGCCCCCTTTTACCCTGTTCTTCAGTGGTCAGGACCCCCATGGACCCTCACAGAGCAGGTACTATTTGGGTGGTGGATCATTCTTAGCACTGCAGTAACACTGACGTGGTGGTGGTGTGTTAGTGTGTGTTGTGCTGGTGCGAGTGGATCAGACACAGCAGTGCTGCTGGAGTTTTTAAACACTGTCCACTCACTGTCCACTCTATTAGACACTCCTACCTTGTCAGTCCACCTTGTAGATGTAAAGTCAGAGACGATAGCTCATCTGCTGCTGCACAGTTTGTGTTGGTCATCCTCTAGCCCTTCATCAGTGGTCACAGGACGCTGCCCACAGGACGCTGTTGGCTGGATATTTTTGGTTGGTGGACTATTCTCAGTCCAGCAGTGACACTGAGGTGTTTAAAAACTCCAGCAGCATTGCTGTGTCTGATCCACTCAGACCAGCGCAACACACACTAACACACCACCACCACGTCAGTGTTACTGCAGTGCTGAGAATGATCCACCACCCAAATAGTACCTGCTCTGTGAGGGTCCATGGGGGTCCTGACCACTGAAGAACAGGGTAACAAAGTATACAGAGGAACAGATGGACTATAGTCTGTAACTGTAGAACTACAGAGTGAAACTATCTGGTCAGTGGAGCTGATAAAATGGACAAACAAGGAGGTGTTTTTAATATCATGACTGATCGGTGTGTCTATGAGGTTAAAACGCCTTGTTTGGTTTCATTAATGATAACAGTATCAGTCTGTCGTGTGTTTATTCCTCCTGGTGGTTTATATTTCCCTCTCAGTGAGATATTCTGTCTGTGGAGCTGCTCTGTGGATTATCAGGTTCATCCTTGGCGAACCTGTTTCCTCTAAATCTCTGGATCTGTGGCTCAGACTCGCCGTGCACGGTTTCTGGCTGCTGCTCTGGCGCTGTGCGGCCTCACGCGGCTGTAGCATGGGGGGAATGTGTGGGCGGGGCCGAGCGCCACGCCCCAGCCAATCCGCGCGCGCGAGGTGGGCGGGGACGCTGCGACTCGCGGCCAATGGCAGCGGAGCGGCTGTCCTGCCGGCAGCTTGCGCGCGTGCTGCTGCCATGTGCTCTCGTGAAGCGCCTCGGTGTTTTTAAGGGACACCGCGTGCACGAGCGGCTCACGTTTTCAGCGGATTACCAGCGAGGTGAAAAACTCTCACTCACTCTCTCTCTCTCCCTCCCTCTCCCTCTCTCCACTCTCTCTCTCCCTCTCCCTCTCTTTCTGCCTTTTATATTTTTATTTATTTATTTATTTATTTTTCTCTTTGATGAATTTTAGAGGTGTGTGAATGCTTAGTAATAATAATAATAATAATTATTATTATTATTTTTTATAGCACCTTAGGTGAAGAGCAGCTTACAGCATGTTTACAAAAAGCAGTAAAAGATTGTAAACAAGTGAACAATAGTGTATGTTAAATAATAGCATTAGCACAAAATTAAATGAAGATTACTTGTTGAAAATAAAAAAAATAAAAGTAAAAAATATATATATAAAAAATAAAAGTAAAAAAAAGTAAAGAATAAAGAAATATTTGTAAATATTTAAAGAAGTCATATATAAAATTATATATTATATATGTATTATTTTTGTATAAAATGTATAATTATTTTTATAATTATATATAAATCATTTGTATACTGATTTATATACACAATAATAAAATACTGAATTAATATAAAGTTAATTTAATAATAAGTGTGTTCAGCTGTTTTCTTAAAATGTAGCCTGGCTTCATTATAAGACTTTTAAACTTTTAAACAGGGACTTTTATGAACGCTGGCTGTTATTATATCGTATGTTATTTATAATCATTGTTTACAGCTGAACTCTGTACGGAAAACACCAAACAGTCCCCGCACATATCGCTCATGTGAGGTTATTATTGATTGATTTATTAGTTAATCATTGATGGATACCGCCCTCCCCCCCCCCAGCGTTCGCGCGTGCCTCTCACGAGGAGGCGTGTCTCTTCAATATTCATGAGACGGAGAGAGCGAGAGAGGTGGGGGGGAGGGGGAGGTGTGACGTCACGTGACTTCGCCCGTGTTCGTTCCAGCTGAGCGCGGACACAGCGCACACACACACACACACACGCACGCGCGCACACACGCACACACACACGGAGGACGAAGAGAGGGATCACCAGAGAGAAAGAAGAGGAAAAAGCGATAGAGCGACTGGATGAGAAAGAGAGAGAGAGAGAGAGAGGAAAAAAAAAAACACGATAACATCCGACCAATCACACGCGCTGCTGCGACTGGCGTCTCGTGCACGGGTTTTTTTTCGCTCGTTTTGTTTTCATTTGCTGTTTTTTTTCTTGAGAAGGACGACGCTGCTTTTCCTGCATTTCTGCCACTATTTTCTGGATTTTTATCCCCTTAAATAACTTTTTTTCATCTGGTTTTTAATTGCAAGATCTGCTTCAAGCAATATCTGAACTGGCTGAATACAAATAATAATATTTTTATTATTTTTTTGCGAAGTTTTTTGCTGGAGCTGGAAAGCCAGGCTGGAAGGGATTGTACAGATTTGACAGATTTGACAGATTTTACTCTCTGGATTACAACCACATGCACATACATGCATGACTCCCCTTCTCTGAAATCCTCTCCTGAGAAGCCTAAAGGTGAGTTTGCACAACTATTAACTGCGTTTATGTCTTCATGGCTCTTGATATGCAGGCTGGACGTTAGTGTGGTTGGCTGTTGATTCAGCTGTCACGATAATACATTATTAAAGGGGAACTCCACCAATTTCTCAGCGTTTCTACATGAGTAACTGGTTAAGCTAAGCCAGAATCACATGATTAATGTGAACTTATTCCACCCGAGTGGTGTCCTCCCAAGCCAGGTCTGGGTGAATTAAAGGGGAATGCCACCACACTTTCAAAAATTTCCACGTAATTTAGTGGTTAAGATGTAAACAGAGTCATTCAGAGTGGTGTGGTGTGAAATGCTCCGTTGTAGAGAAACTCACCAAGTCAGAATTGTTTACAGTGGTGGTGATAGGAACCAGACATCCAATTCTAAAAGCTCCCTCACAGAAAGTTATTACATGAAATGGCACTGCTTGATGCCTGGGGTGTTGTTTTATGATAATTTTGGAAAGATTTTGGCCTTAAAATCAATTCATGGTGGAGGGATACATAATATGCAGGGCGCTGTGAGGCAAAATAGTCCCCAAAAAGACTTATTTTTTCAGATTTTCCACTATTTTTCCATCATCAAAATTCCATATAAATCTCAGAAGACTCGTGTAGGTTCACTGGTGGTTTTGGATAGTAAATAAAATAGCTATATTTGTGTTGTAGTAATGGCGACCCCTGGTTCCTATCACCACCACTGTAAAGAAATGTGAGACCATTTCACACCAAACCACTCTGAATCACTCTGTTTACATCTCAGCCACTGTATTAAATGTAAATTGTGAAAAATTGGTGGAGTTACCCTTTAATGTAGGCTGGGCAGAGTGAGTTAGCTTGCTAACTATACGGTCTAAAACAGTGGTTCCCATGCCAGTCCTTGGGAAAATCCATTCCAGTCCGCAGTTTTGTTGTATCCAGGCTTCCAGCACACCTGTACCAGGTAAGATATGTTTAGGACTGCTTGGTTCATCCTGGTTAGAGTGAACATATGGAGCCCAGTGATCTGGTTGGTAAACACTGGCCTGTAATCTACTGCTCTCAACCGATTAGAGTTTGCACTGCAGTGCACCACACAAAATGACATCTAGGCAATATGGCTAATATTTCTCATTGTAAGATTGTTATAAGAACATTATAGATGTGTTAGGATCAGGTCTGTTTTATTTGCTTACACTAGAATGACAAAACAATAATACTTCATTCATTTTTTTGGGAAAAAGTTCAATATAGTACAATAAAACATTGAATAACTATGTATAGGAGAAGTATAATCTTTAAAGGGCCCATATCCAACAAGTCCACTTATTACATTTGGGTGCTTTTATGTCATAATAAATTTGTACACAACCATTTTCCAACCTCTCTTTATCCCTTAGAATAAAACTGGTTGTCCTTTTAAGACTGATATATGTAAATGAGCTCTGCTCTGATTGGCTGGCTCATTCAAAAAGCAGTCCAGGCAGACACACTCTTTATAACCTCTGCAAGAATGGGCAGGGATAGACTGCTGTAGACTGGATAGGTGGACACACATATATACATATAAATATGTATGTGTATATATATATATATATATATATATATATATACACATATGAATATGAATATATGAATGTGTTTGTTAAGTGAAAAAGTACAGGAGTGTCCAGAACTGAAACACCTGGTAGACCACTATATATATGTGTGTGTATAAATATATATATATATATATATATATGTGTATATATATATAGCGGCACATTTAATTCGACAGTGTTTACACATTACATCACACTTTTATTTCCCAGAAGGAAGGACAGTTCAGTTTTACATGATATGGGCCCTTTAAAGTTCCAAAGCTAAACCAAAACATAGCATCGTAGCAAATCTGTGGGGCCTCCTGGTGGCTTGGTGGTCAACATCTGCTTATACCACTTAATTTCCTGTTTGTACTTACATAAAGTGACCTTATGAAGTGAAATGACCTCAAGGCAATGGGAAAGAAATTTACAAGCATCGTTTCGTGAAGCAAGCAAAGTTTTTTAACAGTACGGCACAAAAGTTACACTTAAGATGATGTAAAATTAGTTAAAATGATCCAGAATCGGGCAGAATAAGCTTAAAATGTTTTTACAGCAACCTTATAAGGAGAAATATGAGATGTGTTGCCTACATTTCAGTCTTAGGTTATTTTTCTTGACACTTTTAATGAGGTTAAGTCATTTGATCAAGTAAAACGGTCAATACTTTAAAAAATAATGTTTGACAGAAGTAAAAATATAGTCTGAATAACCTTCTAATTGTCTCTGAATCCTATAATGTGAAATATTAGATATTATGCCTATATTCACTTATCTAGATGTCATTTAATGCAATGCACTACAGTTTAAGCTGCAATCTGTTAACAGTAAGAGATTATGGTCCAGTCATAACCAGCCCACTCCTGGGGGACGACAACACGGTCCGTATTTTTGCTCAATCCCAGCTGAAGCAAGCGTTTTATATGTGAATTAAGCTGAAGCTGGCTTCTTATTTGCCTGCTTCTTGTTCAGATTTTCCGTTCCACCTTAAATTGTGCAGCAGTTACAGGCACCAGAATGTAACTGCTGCACAATTTAAGGTGGAACAGAAAATTCGTAAAAGAAGCAAGTAAATAGGAAGCCGACTTCGGCCTTGTTGGTACAGGTGTATTGGAAGCTGGGATACAGCAAAACTGTGGACTGGATTTCCTCAAGGACTGGCTTGCAGGCTGTATAGATAGCAGACTTACCTGCATACGAGAATTTGTCCATTGTAAACTACATTAATAACCCATTTTCCTGATTCCATCATAAAAATGTCTAGAAGTCGTTGAATATTCTTACAGCAGTCTCATGATGAGACGTATTAAACAAACTGCCTACATTAAAGCTGCTTTCACTTGCCAAGATAGCAGTTGTTTACTCACCATAAAGGGTCATGTGATTTATTGCTGCCTGTTCATTGAGCAGTAGTGAACTCGTCCAGCATCAGCTGATGGCCGGGCCGCTCTCTCAGCTCCTGCCCCCTGACCTGCCCCCTGCTGGAGCCAGCCCGCAGTGTGGCAGCTCTAACCAGCCAGGAGGTTCCCTGAGCGGTGGACAAATAAACTCTGTGGCTAACCTCAAATCCCTACTGCAGCTGCCAATGAAGGGGGATCAACGCTTCAGAGACTGTTGTGAAATCAAGGGTAAGGACACTTCCATGTGTGTAACGTGAGACATAATGATCATAATCTTCTCTTTAGCAGTCACATGGTAAACGAATTGGGTATTTTTTGTTTTTCTATGGAACAGGTAGCTTAAAGCGATTAGCGAAGAATCAAAAGCAACCAGTTTCCTCCCTTTCACTCCAAATGTAGTTGATCAGCCAAGAAATGTTTGCTTCTTTAGTTTTGAGCTTGGGCTACGAGGCTAAAGGCTGAATTATTCAGCTGCATCTGCATAGCCCACAAATATTGGCCGGGTTTTATGCCCGCAAACTTGCACATAATGTGAATGTGAGCACTAGGGGGCAGTGTTCAAAGGAGAATGTACGAAAATGAAGACTAAAGTCTGACATTTTTTGCCTCTCTCTAAAGCCAGCAGTATACTTCAAAACACAAAAGAGCTAAATGAGACTGAACTACAGAAACACTTGTTGTAAGAAGCCCGCTTTGTGCAGTGGACCAATCACAGTCAGGGGGAGGTCTCAGAACAAGCAAGATGGTGATTAGGACCAATCACAGTGAGGGGGAGGTCTCAGAACAGACAACACAGCTATTAGAACCAATCCCAGTCAGAGGGAGGTCTCAGAACAAGTAAGGTGGTGATTAGGACCAATCACAGTAAAGGGGTGGTCTTCGAACAAACGAGGCAGTAATTAAAACCAATCACAGGCAGTGATTAGGACCAATCAAAATCAGGGGGATGTCTCAGAACAATGCAGTGATCAGGACCAATCACAGTCAGGACGTGGTCTTTGAACAAACAGGAGGCTGATTAGGACCAATCAGAGTCAGTGGGAGGTCTCAGAACAAATGGCACAGTCATAAGGACCAATCAGAGACAGGGGGAGGTCTCAAAAGAAACAAGGCAGTAATGAGGTGTTCTTAGAACAAATGAGACAGTGATTTAAACCCGTTACAGTCAGGGGGAGGTCTTGACACAGTGATAAGGACCAATCAGAGTCAGGAGGAGGTCTCAAAACAAATGACACAGTGATAAGGACCAATCAGAGTCAGGAGGAGGTCTCAGAACAAACAATTCGGTGATTAGGACCAATCAATATCAGAGGGTGGTCTCAGAACAAACAAGGCGGTGATTAGGACCAATCACAGTCAGAGGGTGGTCTCAGAATAAACAAGGCGGTGATTAGGACCAATCACAGTCAGGGGGAGGTCTCAGAACAAATGACACAGTGATTAGGACCAATCACAGTCAGGGCGTCTCAAAACAAATGACACTGTGACTAGGACCAATCACAGTCAGGGGGAGGTCTCAAAACAAATGACACAGTGATAAGGACCAATCAGAGTCAGGAGGAGGTCTCAGAACAAATGACAAAGTGATTAGGACCAATCAGAGTCAGGGGGATGTCTCAAAACAATTCCTAATTAGGACTAGTCACAGTCAGGGGAGGTCTCAGAACAAACAAGGCAGTGATTAGGACCAATCACAGTCAGGGGGAGGTCTTAGAACAAATGACACAGTGATTAGGACCAGTCACAGTCAGAGGAACGTCTCAAAACAAATGACAGTGTGACTAGGACCAATCACAGTAAGGGGGAGGTCTCAAAACAAATGATACAGTGATAAGGACCAATCAGAGTCAGGAGGAGGTCTCAGAACAAATGACAAAGTGATTAGGACCAATCAGAGTCAGGGGGAGGTCTCAAAAGAATTCCTAATTAGGACTAGTCACAGTCAGGGGAGGTCTCAGAACAAACAAGGTGGTGATTAGGACCAATCACAGTCAGAGGGAGGCGCGCCATATGCTCCCCGCGCCATACGAACTTAAACCGTTTTGCTTCAAAGCCACATGTACAGCAACCCACCAAACATCTACCCATTTAGGAAATCTACTATCTTCCCAAAACATACAGCATATGTCTATAATGCAGCCAATATCCTAGGGTTTCAGTCACATGATTTTTCTGTTGTGACTAGAGGTGAAAGATGGCTAAAATTACTCTCCTTACTTTGGAAGAGAAAAAACGTTACCTCTGCAAAGTCAAGCCCCCCCCCAAGCTCCTGATCCCACTTAAACTGGTGGAAAGCTACCAAATTAGTGTTTTCCAGACATTTATATTTATCTCATACTCAGCCCCTCTCCCTATTCTGGAGAGTCTCAAAGCATCTAAAAGCACAGAAGCCCACCGGCTCTTCACGTCAGCGTGGGTAAAGGATCCCATGGTGCTGCATAAAGAGGAGATAAACTCTGTGATCATAGGAGGGTAACGACAGCAGCTAATTAACACAGATGTGAACAATGCTAGACTGTTAACAGCCGAGAGATAAACAGTCGTCCCCCTAACGGAGCTGCAGACAGCCGGTATAACTTTACTCTCTGCTTCTGGAGATTTAAATGACGTCTGAATGGAGAAACATAAACGTTAAATATCAGACTGAATGTCGTGGGTCGGAAAACGACGTCGTGTTTCGACAGACGTGATTCTGTAAGTTTGCTAGTGCAGTTAGTTCAAAGTCCAGCTTCAGTCCTGAAACCTCTGCACTGCATAGTTATAGTTATGGTTAAAGTACCTGATATTATTAGCTAATTAATCCCTTCTTGAGCTGAACTAGGTGTGAACAGCAGAGAGAAACACTAAAAGATACATTGAAGGAGCTCCAAACCCTGCTATGCTAACTGGAGCAGTTTTTTATATTGAGCATGTGACGTGCAGAGGCAGCGTACAGCAAATTTAATTTCACTTTGACTGTGTTTTGCCGCCTGCTGCTATAGAAGCATGTGGGGGTTTAGCGGGGCATGAGGATTGGCTAGTGGGACATTGCCTCGGTAAATGATCTCCTGACGCCGGGCCTGCGGCAGCAAACCACCACAGTCAGATGTCAATAGTTCAATTTGACAAGCTTTTGCTGTTGTTGACATGGACCTGTTGAAGTCCAGGTGCATCCAGTATTACACAACACAATATTAAGAGTGCAGAGTGTCCTCCCGCCTTTTCCCACCTTAAAAAACAATCGACCCTGCTAAACCTCACTTCTGATGATCACTCATTTTTGCCAGTAACACTGTCACCATGGCAACAGCATCGGTTGCGTATGCAAGGCTGAAAATTTGGAGGTCATTTAATGGTTTCAGCAAGCTACATTTACTCAAAAACCCCATCTTGACGTAGATACTTTACATGTATCAAGCCAGAAGTATAAATTAGCCTTAATGTAGCTAACAAGAAATGGAATTAGCACCCAATTAGCATTGTGCCGTTTGCATACCTAACTGCACACAGCGTATCATGCTTGCCTTAAACCGTGCGGACATCTTCAGTAAACTCTAATAAAATTGTTTATGTGGTTTCTAACACTGTATCACACGCTGCTATCTGTAAACATGGACCAAAGTATGTTAGCATAGCTAAAAACAGTAGCAGCAGCCATCTTGTAGCCTGAATTTTGTCTGTATGTTTAATAAAGGGACTAAAACTGGATTTACAATTTAAAATACGGCACTGTTATTTTCTTCTAGGAAATTGAAAAGCTATAGATGCAATCAGTGAAGAATTTTCCAGCTTCCAGCTCCTGTAAAATCAATTAGATTCAGATCGAAACGTGGCCCTGAGCTGTGCCGTACGCAGAGAGGCAGTTCTGTGGAAAACTGACAGGATTTTCTGAATGCAAACTGACTATATAGAGATGATGTCTCTCCTTATTCACTATAGAGAGAAAATTGCTGAATTCATAATCAGTCCATGGTCAAAAAATGTTTTTCTGGACAAGGAAGATGCATTTGGATCTGAGACTGCACAGACTTAACCCGCTTCATTCATTCCAAGGGTTTATTTGCAGCAGTTCAGATTCCTGATTGTGGACATTTTGACCAGATATATGAGATCTAGCTTCATTGCTTAAAAATGGCTCTAAGTGATTAAATGTAACAGTTATTTAAATACAGAAAGACGTTTTAAAGTAGTATTGAGGTTCAAAAAGAGCAGAAAGGGGCAGCCGTGGAGCTACGCTAACACGTTTACATGTAGATCATTTCTGATATATATACACACACACAGACGCACACCTTAATGGGTACATTCACTTTCACAAGGGAAAAGAGAGTGGTTTGGTGTGAAATGTTTGTAGAGACTCAGATGTCTTTACAGTGGTGGTGATAGGAACCAGGGGTCACCATGACTACAACATAAATACAGACATTTTATTTACTATCCAAAACCACCAGTGAACCTACACGAGTCTTCTGAGTTTATATGGAATGTTGATGATGGTAAAATAGTGAAAAAATCTGAAAAAATAAGTTTTCTCTGGGGACTATTTTGCTGCACAACATCCCGCATATTATGTATCCCTCCACCATGAATGGAGTTTAAGGCCAAAATCTTCTCTAAACTATCATAAAACAGTGTCTCAGTCATCAGGCAGTGAATTCATAACCATTTCATGTAGTAACTTTCTGTGAGGGAGCTTTTAGAGGTGGACGTCTGGTTCCTATCACCACCACTGTGAACAGTTCTGACTTGGTAAGTTTCTCTGGAAAGGAGCATTTCACACCAAACCACTCTGAATGACTCTGTTTACATCTTAACCACTAATTATACAGAAAATGAGAAAGTTGTTGTCATTTTCCTTTAACATTTTGTTTGAAAGAAAAATAAAGAGTCAGCAAAGGGTGTATAGAGGCAATACAACCTAAAATACGTAACTGAAGCAGAACATAGAACAGCTAACTAAACGTACTGAAGATGCACGACCCCAGTGACGGTGTTTGTACCCCGAAAGGTACAGTATTTTTCTGAGTGGACTCCAGCCTTACATTAGGACTAATAAGGATTGCTACATATAGAAACACAGAACTGTTAACGTTAGCTGTTGACGACATATTACTTACAGTCTGAGACAGAGTTAAGAGTATTGGCATGCATAAGTAACTAAGCAGGGTCAGCAATGAGTTGTTTGTTTCTGAATCAAAAGAACTTGTTTTGATCCTTTGTGATTACACAAGAGAGATTTTGGTTTACGACTTACTAGACCTTAAAAGTCCAAAAGCAGCCAGGAATGCTTTTTTTTATTTTTACTACCATTTTCCTTCACTTTCAGCCAAAAACTCTTTAGTGAGAATGTTACTGCTTTTTCAGTTTTAGGCCTACAGGGGAATTCCACCAAATCCAATTCACATATTCTGCATAATTAAACGTTTAAGATGTAAACATAGTCATTCAGAGTGGTTTGGGGTGAAGTGCTCTGTTCTAGAGAAACTTAATAAGTCAGAATTGTTCACAGTGGTGGTGATAGGAACCTCTAAAAGCTCCCTCACAGAAAGTTATTACATGAAATGGTTATGAATTCACTGCCTGATGCCTGAGACACTGTTCTACGATAGTTCTGAGAGGAGTTTGACCTTAAAATCCATTAATGGTGGAGGGATACATGCAGGGTGTTGTGAGGCAAAAAATAGAGAAAACTTATTTTTTCAGATTTTCCACTATTTTTACCATCATCAACATTCTACATAAAACTTAGTCTTGTTTGATACATTACATGAATAATAAAAGTCAGTTTGAACTATAATTTGAAATAGCATGAATTGGCTCATGCTAATGAAGTTATTTTCACTGAAGTCAATATTTTGTCTAAAATAAAATGTTTGCTCCCACCTGAATAAAAGTTGGGGCGCAGATGTTTCCCTCCTTACCGCAAATGTAGTCGATCAGCCGAGACGTGTTTGATGTCTGAAGTTTGCTTCTTTATTTTTAGCACTGGAGCTACGAGGCTGATGTACCTAACAGGGAATGGAACTTCATTAGCAATTAGCATGGAATTATTCAGTCTGACACACTGTTATCTGTAAGCATGGAGTAAAGTCAGTCACATAGCTAAAAACAGTAGCAGCCGTCTTGAAAACTGGGTTTTGTCCATGTTTTGGTTATTTTTAATAGATTTAAAGCTTTGTGAGGTCATAGATTTACACCACTGCTACTTGCATAGCTTTGCTGTCATGATGAATGGACCAACAGAAATGGTCCAAAATGACTTTTACGAAGTACAGATCTTGTTACATTAATGTATGTTAAAGGACTTATGTTTTATATTTTCCCTGACATTAACTTATGGCATTTTTGGAGGTTTATGTGCTCAAAACTATCATAATTTTTCTACATGACCTTTTTTAACTTCTCATTGTCTCTTAGAATTGAAGAGGCTGTTTGTTACTATGCCTTTAAGACTGATATATGTAAATGAGCTCTATTCTGATTGGCTGCCTGATACAAAAAGGAGTACAGGCTACAACACTCCTCATAACTTCAGTGTGAGTGGGCGAAATTGGTGGATATATGTAAATGCCTTGGTTTTTGTGACAGCACAAATGCATTGAGTGATCATAATCGGATTTCTGCAGTTATCCGATTATTCAAATAGTCATGTAAACACCATATTCTGATCTAGAAATCTGATTAAGAAATCCAATAAAGAGGCTGGATTTTAGCTCAGTAATCAGATTTCTCATGCATGTAAACTCTTACTCTGATTTCTTTCGGATGTCTCAGTGCATGTGTGAAAACAGATGGCAGTACCAGAAATAAGCGAGCAGCGTCATCAAAGAGATGCAGCAAAACACTTTTGGAGCGACGCTGAAACCAAATACGAAATAAAAGATTTACTTATTCTTCATCTTCTAGATGATGGATGTTCATATTTTCAGCTAAAGTGGCGCAATGTTTTATAAAAAAAGCTGCGGCATGAAGTTTTAGTTTTACGTTGCGTTTACGTCACGTCTTCTTCTGTGAGTTTATTGGCTGGTTGCAAAGTAGAAATCTGATTACTGTCTGACTCATGTAGACCCAGAGTTTCCCCATTATCTGATCACTTAAGTGCATATAAACCTGTTAATCGGATTACTGACAAAATCTGATTTTCTGCAGTTATCGGATTATTAAGCGCATGTAAACACACTCAATGTGATGTTTTTGCCCCCTAGTTTACATATATGGATTGCATGGTCTGGGGAGGGAACAGTACATTTCAAAACTTTAACAACTTTTGCATACAACGTTAAATTCCTAAAAGCAAGGACAGTTTAGTTTTCAATGCTATGGACCCTTTAAAGTAAAGAATGGGAATCACACAAGGTTTTATAGCAACACTAAATTTGTATAGATACAGTAGTCATTCAACAGGCAGGAAGCTGAGTTCTGAGCTGGTTCTCTCTCTCTGTCCCTCAGATAAGGACCGGTTAGATGTGGATGAGGACTCTATGGGACGTTGTACCATGCGTGGGAGGGGCACCGGTGGCCTCGCGTCAGATGGCAGCGGCACGAGCACAAGTTTCTCCAGCGGTGCTAACGGGTTCATGGGCGGGCCGCTGTGGGAGCGGACGCTACCGTGCGACGGCGGCCTGTTCCAGCTGCAGTACATGGACCTGGAGGAGTTCCTGACGGAGAACGGCATGGGCAGCATTAACGGCGCCTCCAACGCCGCACAGGTCCCCTCACAAAGCTCGCAGTGCACGCCCACTTCTCCACTGCCCTGCTCTTCATCTTCATCGTCATCATCTTCATCTTCATCAGCCTCCGCCTCCTCCTCGCCCACGCTGCTCGGCCTGGACATGATGAGGAATAACGACTGCCTGCACGGTGAGTTTTGGTCTTTTATAAAAAAAAACCTGATAAATTTACTTGTTTCAAATGTGAATAAAACATGTTAGACCAACACAATCATTGCCGTCCAATTAACTTACATCAGGCAGTTGTGTTGTAATATAATTTATTCACATTGACCATTTGAATTCAGTCACTTTTTTCAGTGTGGGCTAGTGAGAATGCTAGCAGCTTCTGTTCAAATAGTAATGGTTCAAATAGTAATTGGTGTAGTATGTAAACATCTGCAAAAAAGAAGGCTGTTTATTATGGTTGTGATGTCACTACAAACACATTTCCATAAGACCACCCAATCAGACAAAAGCAGTTTAGCCCCGCCCATTCTCATTGAAGTGATGCGGAGTGTTGTTCCTGCAGACAGACTGTAGTTATTGGCGTGGAAGATGTTGGGAAAACGATTAAGCGTTGTGCTGTTCATGGCTGTTGGGAAGCAGTGAAAGGAGCAATATTTGCATAATGTCGCTGTCGGAACAAAACCTTTTGTGTTTTATGTATGTCTAAAATGGTAACTTTTCATGAGAAGGAGGTCAACATAAAATATTTCCAAATAATTTTAGAACATTTCTGTCCGTCCATTCAGTGTGAAATTTTCACAAAATGTAAGGGGCAGCTGGTGTTTACAAATTATATATAAATATGTATATATTTTTTAAATATATAAAATTACAGTAGTAAAGGGAACTAAACAGCCTGCTTAGTTCTACTGGATAAAGAGGGGACGGCAAATGGTCATGTAAAAATGAATTATGTTTTTGGTAAAAAAAAACCACACAAACCTTTTGTAATTTTATTAACTCCAACTTAAAGGTACAATAAAAATTTAGAATATGGGCCCTTTAAAAGAAATTCAGTGCATTAAAGAGCTCAGTGAGGTCAGCTTGAAGAGCTCATCAATGAAAACTGGTAAAAAAATATTTGAGTGGTCATAGATTATAACGCTGCCGTCGAAAGAAAACCTTTTTTTCAGTTTTGTACATAATTTGAATATGTCTGTTGAATGGACCAAAAGAAATGACCCAAAATGGCTTGGAAAAAAGTCTGGTTCCATTGACTTACATTAAAAGTAAAGTAGGTTTTTTGCTTTTCCTGTAAAGTTACCATTTTGGAGATACGAGGTTTTGCTCTGACAACAGCGATAAGTAGATTAATTGAGGTTTAATTAAAAGTTTATGTCTCTCAAATGTTTTACAGCCTATGTTTGATTTTCGGTTTCAGACTGAGCCTCGACTCATTTAAACTTCAGTTAGTAGTGCTGAAAAAGAAAGACACACAATCTGTTTGTTTGGTCCCATTTAAAGAATGTCTGTGCTGATTAAATGTAAATTAAGATGGACTTATGTATTAGAGCACTAGGTCAGACTGTTGCAGTAATATACTGGTGGGTGAGGATACACTGTCCAGCACTGTTAGCTCAGTAAACACTGGGGGACCTCTGTGGTGATCCTGAGGGGCTTGTGTCGTATACCAGCTTGTTAGCACTGTGGATGAGGTTGCAGATGAATATTATGCGGTTTCATCTGTTTTTAGGTTTTTGGATAATCAGTTGTGTAAATGTTTAATCTACATTCTGCTTCAATTCAGTGGTTCCCACTCAGCCAAGACATGTTTGGTGTCTGAATTAGCTTCTTTAGCTTGTTGGAGAAATGAGGCTAATGTAGCTAACAGGTAACAGAAGCTTGTTAGCATGGTGCTAACTGCATCCCTGAGGCAGACGCTAGGTTAGTCTCAAACTGTGTGGAGCTGTTCAGTGTCTCTAAAGGACATGATTATGTGGTTTCTGATACAACATATATATAAATATGATTATGTGGTTTTGGACACAGTGTATATAAATATATAATAATAATAACAATGGAAAGGGCTCTTTGAATGTTCATTGACACTTTTTTGGCTACAAAAGGTAGCTTTATAGCTTGTAGCCTCAGAGTTAAGGGTGAAACTAAACAAATATGTTTATTTATATATCAGTGGTGATATTTAGAGTCAGTCCTTTAGGCCATGGATGTCAGAATACAATCAAAAACGAAGAAAAAACACCTCTCCAACCTCTACAAATGCTAATTTCTGCTAGCACCTTTGGGATTCTCATCGTATGTGTAGTTGCTAGCTAGTTGTGTCTAGTATGTTAGTGCTAAGCTGACACTGGAGCAGCTAAATGTTTTTGGCTGCTCTAAATTTAACTCAAACATTTAGGCCCAGTCCCATTTCACCCCTCGCCCCTACCACTGAGCCCTTAGCCCTCTGTTTTGCTCGTTCCATCTAGGAGTAGGGTGTCCCTATTTTTCTTGAGATAGCGGGGCAGAGCGAAGTGTTAGGTTTTTCAGAGACTCCAAACAGAAAAACAGGTGAGATGGCGGAACAAGAGACCAAAGAAACCCACAAATTTAAGTATTTTCTCTGCTAAAAATTACGATAACCACTGTATTATTTTTAGTTTAATGTCGTTTCAGTGTATTATGTTCGTTTTCTTCATAACGAGCATAAAAATTTGCGAATAGCATGCTAATGTCTCGGTAGCTAGCTAGCTAACTTTCCCGTTCCACCTTAAATAGTCCAGCAGTTCTGATGCCTGAAGCGCCAGAATGTAACTGCTGCTCTGTTTAAGGTGGAACGGAAAAATTCGAACAAGAAGCTGGTGAATATCTGACTTCAGCTTCATATCACTGAAGAATTAGCGATGGGCGATAATAAATAACTGCTCCTCTTTGAAGACATTTTTACATTTTACATTTTTTAATGTCTATAAGGCCTTTGTTTATCCTGTACAGTTAATGGGCCCATATCCTACATTTTTTTGTATTTCATACAAGATGAAACAGAATTTCATAGAAAATCAAGCATAAGCTGCAAAGCCATGAACTTCTAACGTTAACCTAAATTAATCTGCTCAATTTATTTTGTACAATACATTTTTTATATTCATTTTATTGAATACACCCCTAAAATGAAAACCTCACCAGCTGTTTTAAAGGGCCCATATTCTACATTTATTAGTAATATATTGTTATATATTATATTGTATTTTATTGTATTATTTTATTTCATTTAATCTAGTTAAACAGTTTGTGTGGTGTCAAAAACAGCTTGAATTCATTTTTCCAACCTCTCTTTATCCCTAAGAATTAAACAGGCTGTTTTTGTTACTGCACCTCCAAGACTGATATATGCAAATGAGCTCTGTTCTGATTGGTTGTGCCTCGTCCAGAAAAGAAGTCTGGACTGGGACGCTTCTAATAACTTCAGTGTGAATGGGCGGGGCTAAACAGGAGTGGGCTGAATAGGCAGATATATGTAAATACTTAGATTTTTGTTACATCACAAAAGCAAAGAATTTGAAATGGGCTGTTATTTAAACTGGGGGAGTGTCTGTTTAGAAACTTGAACATTGTTTATGACTATTTCAACCCTTTATTATTAAAACAATATAGAAGTTTTCAATGATATGGGCCCTTTAATGGCACAGCGGTCGTGCAGCAACCTGAACCACCCTGAAAGGTCTGATTCATGAGGTCTCGTGTGTTTGTTTACCGTGCCCAGCTAAGATTGTTGGGTTGGGCCTGGAATGTACAGTAACTGCTATCAGTCAGAGGGACAGTACACGAGATAAACGAGAGAGAAAACGAGATTTGGGGAGGGATGAGAGATAACGGAACAGCAGGACAGTTTGGCCAGAACCATAAAAAAAAAGAAAAAAGAAAGGAAGTGAGTGAGTGAGCGAGCGAGAGTGAGTGAGTGAGCGAGCGAGCGAGGGAGTCTGTCTCTTCGCGTGTTTTCAAATCTCTTCCTCATTTCACACACGTGGTGCGGGTGCACGCGCTCCCTCACGTGCGGAGGACGAGAGGAACAGAGTGAGGAGGAGTGGGAGGAGGAGTGGGAGGAGTGTCGGCGCATGTGTTTGCGCGAGCGTGTGAGTGACGAGAGAACGTGGAGCCGAGCTCAGGAGCAGAACTTTCTGCTTAGACTAGCAATCACAAAGAACTACACCACACGCTTCAAAAAGAAGGGTTCTCCAAGGGTTCTTTAGTGAAGGCGGTGGTCCTATTTAGAACCATGAGCTCTGTAAAGAGCCATTTCATCCTTAAATGGATCTTTAGATGGATGGGGATTGTGTTGTTTATGTGATTCTATTAACAATCTTTTTGAAAATGGTTCTATATAGCACTAGAAAGGGTTCTGCTTTTGTGACAAGCTTGACAGCAGAACAATAGAAGAACCCTTTTTGGTGCTCTATAGAACCTTTTTTAAAAAGGTTCTATATAGAATCACATTCACAACACATTCTCCATTTTGCTGTGCAAAGAACCCTTTCTGGAGCTATATAGAACCATTTTCAAAAATGGTTCTTTGAGTGTTCATTGTTCTATATACCATTTCATGCATAAATGGTTCTCTGCGTGGTGAAATTGTTCTTCAGATTGATGGAGAATGTGTTGTGTATGATTCCGTATAGAACCTTTTTTAAAAATTGTTCTATAGAGCACAAAAAAGGGTTCTTCTATTGTTATGTTATGTTATGTTACGTTACCCTTTCTGGTGCTACATAGAACCATTTTCAAAAAGGTTCTATGTAGAACCATATACAGCACATTCTCCAATAATGTGAAGAACGCTTTTGCCATGCAAAGAACCATTTATGCATGCACATGGTTCTTTGAGTGTTCATGGTTCTATATACCATTTCATGCTTAAATGGTTCTCTGCATAGTGAGATTGTTCTTTAGATTGATAGAGAATGTGTTACGTGATTCTTTATAGAACCTTTTTGAAAGTGGTTCTACACAAAACAAAAAAGGGTTCTTCAATTGTTCTGTTGTCAAGCTTGTCACAAAAGCAGAACCATTTTCAAAAAGGTGCTATATAGAACCATATACAGCACATTCTTCATCAGTCTGAAGAACCATTTTGCCATGCAAAGAACCCTTTAAGCATGCACATTGTGAACTGTTGAGCTGCACCAGAGTGTTCATGGTTCTATATACCATTTCATGCGTAAATGGTTCTTTGCATGGTGAAACGGTTCTTCAGATTGATGGGGAATGTGTTGTATATGTGATTCTATCAACAGTCTTTTTGAAAATGGTTCTATAGAGCACCCAACTGTCAAGCTTGTCACAAAAGCAGAACCCTTTCTGGTGCAGCTGAACAGTTCACAACAGTGTCCTAGTTGATCTGATAACAGCGCTAAGAGGGAAAACTGATATTGATATTTGATGATGTAGTTATTGCACTTCAGAAGAGGAGAATGTTTAGGGTGGATCGCTGCACTAAATCAGGGCTCGGCAACATGCGGCTCTTTTACTGTCCTGTTCGGCTCCACAGCAGAATTAGATTTGTAGGTAAAAATAAAATAATCCTCCTTTACAGTAAAATAAAGCTCTGCTAATCGTTCAACACAGTTTAACAATAAATGGTCTTAAACTCTGGAGTTAATGTAGAACTGCTAATTCACCCTTTAACCCTGAAGATCAGCGCACACTGCTGGTCACTATAGCAACACAGACAACAGTGTCGCCTAGCTAGTAGCTCACGAAAAGGCAAAGAGAGAGATTTAAGATGGACATTGATAATATGGATGTGAATGGACTTATTTGTATTTATCACTCCAGCTGGTTTCCTGATACGTTTAATCTGCAGCGAGAAACTGCCAAACACTAAAAAGTTGAAGTCAGTTACTCATTCAAATTTTCTTGTTCCACCTTAAATGGTACAGCAGTCACATTCTGGCACCTCAGGCACCATTTAAGGTGGAACGGGAAAATTAGAACAAGAAGCTGGTGAATGAGAAGCGACTTCACCCCCATAAGAACTTGAACGTTGAGAGACATTTTACAAGAAACTTTAGCTGAGCTAAAGATTAAAGCAGAGTAAGTCTGTGTTTTTGTTTATATTTTTAGTCTATACTCGTTCATTAACACATACCGAGACATATTTACAGTCAAGATGGTAAAATGGACATTGTTGTAGCTCCCAATGTGGCTTGATTTTTGTTGAAAGGGAAAAATGGCTCTTCTTAACAGTTTGGGTTCTGACCCCTGCACCAAAACATCAACAGTTTATTCACTCACCGCGCTGTAACTCTCTTTAAATACGTTATATATTTTTAATGCAAATCCAGGTTTCAGATGTTTTGTAAGTGTTTATGTATCAGTATCGGCAGATATGCACATAAGAAATATCGAATATCGGTATCGGTACCACTTCCCACATTGATGCGTGCCTGGTTTTATGTATTAATCATTTTTACAAGACTGTTTTCCTCTCTTTATCCTTTAGAATTAAAAAGGCAGAGCCTGTTAGACTGATATATGTAAAAGAGCTCTGTTCGTGTCTTTTCAAACATATTTTTGAATAATGCCTCAGAAAAATGAATATAAAATTTTACTGAAATACACTCTCCTGATATAACATGGTTTATATTGACATGTTGTGCCCTTAGGAGTGTGAGAGAAAGAAAGTAGAGAAAAAAGAGAGAGAGAGAGAGAGAGAGAGATAAAGGAGAAGAAGAGTGATGGAGAAAATGAGGGAGAGGAGACAGATAAAGGAGAGAAAGAGAGAGAAAAGAGGAGAAAGACAGATGATGGACAGCAGAGGGAGATGAAGGAGAAGAAGAGCGAGAGAGAAGAGGAGGATAGATAGAAAGGAGAGAATGAGAATGAGGAGAGATACAGAGAGAGAAGAGAATAATAGGGGAGAGTGAGGGATAAAGAGAAGAGAGAGAGATAGAAGAGAGCGAATGAGAACGAGGAGAGAGAGAATGAGAAGGGAAAGAGAGAGAAAATGAGAAAGGGCAGAGAGAGAATGAGAAAGGGGAGAGAGAGAAAAAGAGGAGAGGGATAGAAGAGAGAGAATGAGAAAGAGGAGAGAGAGGGAATGAGAAAGGGGAGAGAGAAAAGAGATAACGGAGAAAAAGAGGAGAGAAAAAGAGGGAATGAAAATAAGGAGAGATAAAGAGAGAGAAGAGAATAATAGGGGAGAGTGTGAGATAAAGAGAGGAGAGAGAGAAAAAGAGGAGAGAGAGAGGGATAGAAGAGAGAGAATGAGAAAGGAGAAAGAAAAAAGATTGAGAAAGGAGAGAGAGAATGAGAAAGAGGAGAGAGAATGAGAAAGGGGAGAGATAAAAAGAGGAGAGAGATAGAAGAGAGAATGAGAAAGAGGAGAGAGTGAATGAGAAAGGGGAGAGAAAAGAGAGATAAAGGAGAAAAAGAGAGGAGAGAGAAAGAGAGAGAATGAGAATTAGGAGAGAAAAGGGAAGAGAAGTGAATGATAGGGGAGAGTGCGAGATAAAGAGAGGAGAGAGAAAAAGGAGAGAGAAAAGAGAATGAGAAAGGGGGGAGAGAAAAGAGAGATAAAGGAGAAAAAGAGGAGAGAAAGAAGGAGAGATTGAGAATGAGGAGAGATAAAGAGAGAAAAGAGAATGATGGGGAGAGTGTGAGATAAAGAGAAAGAGCGGAGAGAGAGAGTTAAAAGAGAGAAAGAAGGAGAGAGGGAATAAGAGAGAGATACTGAGAAAGTGACAGAGAGAGAGAGAGAATGTGTTTTCTTATCTTATTTTCCAATATTATGTTATGTATGAAGAATGTAGCCTAGTTGAATATGATGATGATATTCCTGTAGCTCTTATTGTGTCTTCATAACATTGTAACCTGTGTCTTTATAACATTTGTACTGATATAAAATGATCTTATCGAGTGAAGTTATTTATACATCACAGTCTCACCGAATCATCGGTTCCATAACATGCTTATTACCTCAATAATAAACCACTATTAACTGACTCTGTGCTCTCGTATGAACATTTCAGGTAACCTGCGCTAAGAAGGGGTTAATCTGTGGTTTTCAGGTCTTATCAGAGTCTGCATAAACTGTACTTATTAACAGAGTCAGTGCGTGACCTGTTATAGCACCACATGTCTTCATATGAATGAACGATGTGCAAAAGATTAGGATGTGAAATACACAGATAGACAGCACTCTGGAAAAAGTTCATCTCAGCCAAGTTACTGCTTAATAAAGTAGTAATTAGCACCCAGTCAGTTAGCAGCTACCAGCTTAATAAGGCTTAATAAGAGCATTATAATGCCTCCCAATACTGAAGTGTTACTAAAAAGCTAAAACTAAGTGAGAAGAGTCTGATTTATTGAGCTTCAGGTCTGGAATTAATAAGCGGCGTCAGTTTTTCCCTCAACCAGTTTGATTTTTCCACTACTGGTCCAGAAAATGATGAAGGAAACATCTCTGGAAAGCATATTTCAGAGAGATGTTTTCACTTGAGACTTCTGACTGTAACCACCAAAGATTAAATAAAGGAGAAATTGAGATTTATATGTAATGTATGGAGCATAAGGAGTTAATAATGGGTGATGCAGTATTTGACCTGCTGCTGCCCTCTGGTGAGACTTTAGAAAACTGCAGTAGGTAATATATTGAGGTCTTCTTGAGCACCACATTGTTAGACAAAAATGGAGTCAGTGTTTTCAGTAATATAAAACAAGTTACTTTGCAGATTAATGTATAAAGTAATTCTGATAATTAATAGTGCATATGTTGAATAATTCATAGTTCATACTCAATGTCTTGTAGTGTTTTTTAATAATCCATAGTAAATGCTGAATATTTCATAGTGGTTTCTGAATAATTCATAGTAGATACTGAATAATTCATAGAGGTTACTGAATATTTCATAGTAGATACTGAATAATCCATAGTAGGTACTGAATAATTCACAGTAAGTACTGAACAATTCATAGTAGATACTGAAAAATTCAAAGAGGTTGCTGGATAATTCATAGTGGTTACTGAATAATCCATAGTGGGAACTGAATGATTTATGGTGGTTACTGAATATTTCATAGTAGATACTGAATAATTCATAGTAGGTACTGAATAATTCATAGTGGTCACTGAATAATTCATAGTGGACACTAAATTATTCATAGTGGTTACTGAATAATTCATAATGGTTACTGAATAATTCATAATAGACACTAAATAATTCATAGTGATTACTGAACAATTAATTGTAGAAACATAATAACTCATGACAGATACTGAATCATTCATAATGGTGAAACAATTCATAATGGATACTGAATGATAAGTCTTAAGTTTAATAACTGAATAATAAGCGTGGGGCTTAGGGGGTTAATAAGTTCCTGTTCTTTTCTGAAATACTTGGTACTTAGTTTTAGTGTTTAAAATACATTGTATATGTTATTATTCTATAAAAATGAATAACATTAAGTGATTGTACATTTATGTTGTGTATACAGCAGCACTCAGAATGAGTCCCTGACACAACCACAGTTTTTAAAACTGATTTTCTTCTGCCTTGTTTTGTTCAGGCACTCCTCAGGGCAGCCAGGACCCCTCCCCATCCCCCTCCTCCACTTCCACCCCCCCACTCACTGCCCCACCCATCACCAATGGCAACGACATGATGGGGACCTTTGACCCCGACCCTGTGGACGTGGCCCTGTCGAGCGTCCCGGGTCAGGAGGCGTTTGACCCCCGGCGGCATCGCTTCAGCGAGGACGAGCTCAAACCGCAGCCCATGATCAAAAAGGCCCGCAAGATGATCGTCCCCGACCACATGAAGGTAAACGGCACAGCGCAGTGACCGGGGGTGACCTCTGACTCGTAAAAGTGCACCGATCTTTACTCGATCTCACCAAACCAGGATCGTCAGAATCGTTCGATTACAGTAATTTTCAATACAGTATGAACTCACTTACTTTTTAGCCAAAATAAAATAGTGTTTGAGAGCATAATATAAAAAAGTTGGATCTGCAGTCTTAAAAGGGTTCTTTGCCCTAGAAGAACCACTGTGCTTCTCTAAAGAATCTTTGAAAGAAGCAAAGAACTTTGCAAATGTGAGAGTGAAGAACCAGTAACATTTAAATAAAGAATTAGCTGGTTGAGATGTAAACAGAGTCGTTCAGAGTGGTTTGGTTTGAAACGCTCTGTTCTAGAGAAACTTACAGAGTCAGAACTGTTCACAGTGGTGGTGATAGGAACCAGACGTCCACCTCTAAAAGCTCCCTCACAGAAAGTTACTACATCAAATGGTTATGAATTCACTGCCTGATGACTGAGACGATAGTTTAGAGAAGATTTTGGCCTAAAACAAATTTTTATTTAATCCATTCATGGTGGAAGGATACATCCAGGATGCTGTGAGGCCAACTGGTCCCCCAAAAAACATTATTTCAGATTTATCACTGTTCTACCATCATCAACGTTCCATATAAACTCAGAAGACTCGTGTAGGTTCACTGGTGGTTCTGGATGGTAAATAAAATGTCTGTATTTGTGTTGTAGTCATGGCGACCCCTGGTTCCTATCACCACCACTGTAAAGAAATCTGAGTTGGTCAGTTTCTCTGTGATGAACCATTTCAATTCAGTTCAATTCAAGATTTATTTCTATGGTCCTTTTTACAGTGGACGTTCTGTCTGCGTAGCCCCGCGAAGACTGAACCTAATTGGTGGGGTGTAAGCCCAGTGACCTCAGAATAAAGTCGGTCACACCAGTGACTTCAGCTAAAAGCTTCATATGAAATCATGAGCTAAATGAGAAAATCTCTGATAACTGAAAGTCACAGTGGACTCACCATGTGCTTTTCTTCATAGATCCTCAGAAAACAGGTAAAAGGAAGTCAAGTGATGTCATCAGTGTGATTATTTCAAAATAAGAGATTTTTGTTACGCAGTAACACCAGCGACTCCTGGGGAACTTTCATTAAATATTTTATAATATTTATTTGGCGTTTGTTTTCTTTGTTATTTAATTTACATATTCCATAGTTAACTATAGATTATTGCAGTTAAAATATCAGAAAAACGTGTTTTTTTCTTCAAAATATGGCCTCAGCCTTTACACACGACTGTGGGGACAAGATCTTCTGTGGTGCTTAGAAATCTATATGATTGATTTAAAAACCAATATTGCTAAATTGAGGCTCAAGAAGGTCTAATTGTTGTTTAAATGAAAATAAATTGTAAGCCTAACGTTTTCAAGTGTAATATATCTGTAAACGCTAGGGACACAAAAATGGACATATCTGTAGAATGACCCATCACTGACCCATCACTGACCTGAAAAATCTCAGGTTTATTACATACTAAGGCTTATTATTCACTGACTACAGGGACTTCAATGCAAACTGGCTGAGTTATTCTTAGACTATAGAAGTGTGTAGTAAACTTTGGGCCCACCGGTGGGCGCTGGCCATTTAAGGGTTAATATACTGGATAAGGCATAGTGGTATAACAGTGTAGCAGTACAGTGTTTCTTGCCATATTAATCTTTCTTGTCTGCTCTTCTGTTTCTCCTTCTCTGTTGTCTAGGATGAGAAATACTGGAGTCGGCGCTCAAAGAACAACGAGGCGGCGAAGCGTTCGCGGGACGCGCGGCGGCTGAAGGAGAATCAGATTTCCGTCCGGGCCGCGTTTCTGGAGCGTGAGAACGCCGCGCTCAGGCAGGAAGTGGCCGACATGCGCAAGGAACTGGGCCGCTGCCGCAACATCCTCAACAAATACGAGAGCCGGCTGGTGGACCAGTGAGGACGAGGAGGAGGAGGAGGAGGAAGAGGGGCGAGAGAGAGCAAGAGAGAGAGGGGGGGGAGACCACTGAATGTGATAAAGGAAGACATGCAGGGATCAGGGCTGCAACGATCATTCGAAAAAGTCGATTAGTCATCGGCGATTACGGAAAAGAGCTGACTCATCATTCGCTATAATGTTCATATGATCCACACAGTCATTCTGACAGACTGTAATACACTACAGGAAGTGTAGGGGGCGATATGGCTTCTGTTGTTTCATTTACAAAGCGCTCTATAATGGTCAAATGATCCATGTGGTCTTTCTGATAAATTGCAATACACTACAGGAAGTGTAGGGGGCGATATGGCTTCTGTTGTTTTCACTTCAGAAGAAATCAACTTTCAGAAGAAGGAACTTTGAAATGAGAGGCTTTTAATGATTCACTTAGTCCATTAATCGAGTAATAGTCCATAGATTAGTCGATGAGTTGCAGCCCTAGCTGTGAGAGAAGTGGACGGACAGTTCAAACGCAGGGAGATGGACAGTAATGCCTGTTCCGGACCTTCTGAGCGGAGATAAATGTTGGCTTTTGATATTGGAGAGAGTTGTATATTTTTATACAATAGAGTCATGTGCTATGGGAAGAGGACTTTTTTGGAAAACAAAATGTTCTATAAAAATATTTTCTATATTTTCTATATATATTAATGGCAGGGCTGTTCAGTTAAAAACAAGGTACACTCTTAAAGAGGAATTCCACCAATTTTGCAACAAGTCTGCATAAACAGTCATGTAAACAGAGTCATTCAGAGCGGTTTGGTGTGAAATGGTTAGGTTTTTACAGTGGTGGTGATAGGAACCAGGGGTCGCCATGACTACAACACAAATATAGACATTTTATTTACTATCCAGAACCACCAGTGAACCTACACAAGTCTTCTGAGTTTATATGGAATGTTGATGATGGGAAATAGTGGAAAATCTGAAATAATAAGTTTTCTTTGGGGACTATTTGGCCTCACAACACCCTGCATATTATGTATCCCTCCACCATGAATGGATTTTAAGGCCAAAACCTTCGCAAAACTATCGTAGAACAGATGGTTATGAATTCATAACCATTTCATGTAGTAACTTTCTGTGAGGGAGCTTTTACAGGTGGATGTCTGGTTCCTATCACCACCACTGTGAATAATTCTGACTCGGTAAGTTTCTCTAGAACGGAGCGTTTCACACCAAACCACTCTGAATGACTTTTTAAAATCTTAGCCATTTAATTATGCAGAAATTTTTAATGGAATTTCCCTTTAAAAATGAAGGTGCCAGAAAGGATGCTTTATGCTTTATTGGGATCCTCAAATTGGTATGGAACCTTTACATTATGTGAATATAAAAAGTTCTCATTTTTCAAACATGTTTCAAAAGTGGTTCTTTTATCTATGGCTTTGCTCATAGAACCCTTTGTGGCACCTTTAATTTGAAGAGTGTTGAGGGAGTTTGTAGAAATAATGCTGGAATCGTCTTGAAATGGTGAGCACTTCAAAGGGGGTTCCACCCATTTTTTTACATTTCTGCATAATTCAGTGGTTGGGATGTAAATGGAGTCATTCAGAGTGGTTTTGTGTGAAATGGTTCATTGTAGAGACGTTGTAGGAACGTTGATGATGGTAAAATAGTGGAAAATCTGAAATAATAGGTCTTCTTTGGGACTATTTTGCCTCACAACACCCTGCATGTATCTCTCCACCATGAATAGACTAGAAAAATATGCACATTTTAGCCAAAAAGGGGATCTCAAAACAATCGTAAAACAAGCAGTGAATTCATAACCATTTCATGTAATAACTTTCTGTGAGGGAGCTTTTAGAGTTGGACATCTGGTTCCATTCACTATCACACATTTCTCCAGAACAAAGCGCTTCAGAGCAAACCACACTGAATGACCATATTCAAATCTCAGCCATGCAGAAATTTTGAGAAATGGGTGGAATTCCCCTTTAAAAGGGGTTGAACTGGGGGTGATGATGGAATAGGCTGTAATATAATTTTCAGATTAGTTTAAAAAATTATGTGGATTTATTCAAGCACTTAATTTGTCATGTAGTTGCACATCCATCGGAAGGAGAGAGGGATACGTGTTCATTTTTCAGGAGTACGGGACTTTAATTTTGGCTTCTTCTTTGGACAGTTGAGCGAAAGAATGGGACGGATCATGACGCCGTGCATGCGCCTCTTTTTTTTCTTTTTTTCTTCCTTCTCCTCGTTTCTTTGAATCACGAACTGATTGAGATTAGTGTAAAGACGAGTCTTGGTTACACATGTACTCACTTTTTCCTTTTCTTGTGTTACTGGAACGCACACGTCTAGTTCTCCCACACGGCTTAACACTACAGCAGACATCCCAGGACTACAATACCCACAGTACCCCAGCGCTGGAGGGTGCCACAGTGTTTAAGTTCCCTAGTGTACTTGAACCCTCTGCAGAAACTATCCTTGCTGTGCAAAGCATAGATCTGTACTATATTGATACGAATAGTGAGAATTGCCCTTATTTGATTGTGTAGAAGATATCGTCTGTATTGTACACAGATATATGTATTTTTTTCAATTTTTCAAAAGAAAAAACAGGTTTGCATGAGGACATTTTGGAACGATTGTGCTTTTTTTGCAGGTATATGCAAACCAGTCCCAGGAAAACGTGCATTTTTAGCGTCTCCGCTTTACTGGAACGATGTTTGATTCTCAGAAACTGGCAGGAAACAGCGAGGAATCAGCTGCTAAAGACTGCCGAAGCGTTTGGTTGAACTTCTGTGGTCACACAGAAAACATTCGAGGATAAGGATGAGCGCATCAGCGGCGACTCGGTTGACTCGTTTGACTCGTTTTTTGACTCGGTTCTCCCTTCTGCTTCTCCGTGTCTGTTCCTTTCTTCAGAAGACCATTTTCTTTCGATCCATATTGTGCTATGATTGTTATTACTTTTAATATAATGATTAAATTTTTTGTTCTTCCTTTGTTTTCCTCTGTTTTTCTTTCTTATGTTCATTCCTTTTAAGAGCGAATGCAGTTGACCCTTCGCTATGCTCCGCCCCCTTTGGTAACTGTCGCCATGTCTGACAAGCTTTCCCAGAAATCCCCAGAAGTCCCTTCATCTTTATGTATCCTAAGAAGGTCCAGCTCGATGTTTAGGCCTCAAATGATCACAAAATCAACATTAATGCTGATTAAGATGTGATGATGATAGTCAATAATTCACTCCCGTCAAAGTTTTGACTGAGTTCTCTTCCAATCATCAGATTCATCCACTCAGGGAAGGGGTCTGAAGCGCAACCCACGCTACAAAATGTTCTTCTGCAAACCCCAAATCTTACGTAGTGCAGCTTTAAATTGAAAAACACATCAACTTGTACATTGAGAGCCACGAAAAAGCGCCATACATCATCACAACTGACCAATCAAAGAGTTTTCAGTTTATATGAATCAATTTCAAAATGTTAGTGCTCGTCTTTGCCTTAAATGTTCTACCTACTTGTCAATCAAATGCATTGACTGGGCCACTTTAGAAGGCGCCCTGCTTTTGAAAAGGACGAGGCCTTTTTGCTATTGTTATAATGAAACACATGCATTCGGACGCTGTTTGTGTCGGCTACGCAGCAAACGTTGACCAATCAGATCACAGGGAGGGCGAGTTTTCAGTGACAGCTGTAATGAAGGAGGGCTTAGCCATTAATTTGTAGTTAGCCTGAACTGTATGACCTCACAGATTAAAATTATCATGCCATAAACAAAAAGCAACTTCGTTTTTAGGATTAGCTTGTTCTGCTAGCAGCTCCATGCTTGCTAGTTAACAGTAGATCACTTTCTGAAAGCTTTCTACCACATTGCAAGACGATAGCATGCTAGCACAGCTGCTTGACAATAACAATGCTATTGTTAGCAACAGCAAGACGGGCAGCCAAAAGCAGCGCTTAAAAACACAGAAAGAACCCCCAAGAAAAGAGAGAGTAGCCTAAAGTAGGGTCAAAATGTGCTTTTTCTAAAGGCTAGCTGTGCTGGCTAGCCATTGTTTCAATGTACTGACAGAAATGTGGACTAACTCTGTTTATTAAGTGATCTACTGTTAACTAGCACATGTGGACCGGCTAGCAAAACAAGATAAACTAAGAAAAAGCTGCTTTTTGTTTATGTTGTGCTCATTTTGATCCATGAAGTTTTACAATTTAGGCCAACTCAGTGACCTCCTTCCTTCTGATCTGACTGGTCATCACAGAACCCATGGCTGAGGCTACTTTAATGCAAAAGTGATCAAAAAACATCTCAAAAGGGGCATCAGTCCTCAAAGAACACGTACAGTGTGGACCAATAGCGCTAAAACGGCTAAAGATAGAAGCTAAAGCCAACAGATCAATGTAGAATAGTGATAAGCCCCATCAAATAGTGATCCATGTAGGTGAAAATAAAAGAGCAGACATGAGTATCGTTTTGTTTTTGACAAGTTTAATCAGTAATGCGGTCTTCCACCATGTTTAATCCAAAACCACTTCAGTTTAGCGACCTTAAATGTCTGGACGATCTCCGGTGTTTTTTCACATTCACTGATTTATTCTGTGTCATCACATCACGTCAGTAAGGCTGCTGAGCTGTAAATTTGTAAAAATTGCTGCATAATGAAATGTTCGAGATGTAAACCAAGTCATTCAGACTGGTTTGGTGGGAAATGCTCCATTCTAGAGTAACTTACCGAGTCAGTGGTGGAAATAGGAGTTTAATGCCTCCAAAATACATTAAATGGTTATGAATATGCTGCCCGAGACACTGTCATTTGTTAGTTTTGAGTTAACGTTTTGGCCTAAAATGTACTTTTTAAACGTATCCATTCATAGTGGAGGGATACATGCAGGGCGCTATGAGGCAAAATAGTCCCCATTGGTAACTAACTTTTTCTGATTTACTGTTTTCAACATCAAATGATGCTCAGAAGACACATCCAGGTCCAAACCTGAGTCTCTGCAATGAACCATTTCACATCAAACCACTCTGAATGACCTTGTTTACATCTCAACCAATGAATTGTACAGAATTGTGGAAAAATTAGCAGAATTCCACTTTAAAATAAATTCACAGTTACGGCACTTGAATTACATGTTACGTACATTCTAAAATAT